TCTAACCAAGGGTGATTACTTTTATTTTTCCTCTTTATAAGAATAATTTACAATGTTAAGGATGATCTTTGAGATCTTTGCAAGATGAGCTTGTAAATTCTGGGTCTTCATTTTATTTTGACAGAAAAGTAGAAATGTCTTATGTTTTTCAGGTTACTGTTTTGTAATCTTAAATAATTAAAAACAAAATCCAGATACTGTCTTGGCAACATTCATTCATTCATGATCCTAGTGTTATCAGGCTTGAGTTACTAGCAATAAAATTTAATAGAATCTTGTTGTTAGCATTACTTAGGAATGTACTGTTCAGACACTTTGTCATGGTTTAACCCAGCCAGCACAGAACTGCTTGCTGACTCTGCCCTTGATGGGATGGGGAGACAGTTAGAGGGTTAATAGTGAGAAAACTGATGGATTGAGATAAAACTTTAATAATTAAAATAATAATAATAATAAATTGTAATGAAAATTGACTGTAAACTAATTTCTGTTGGGATAATATTTTTATTCATTGCACATTAATCATAGGCTGGATTAATTTGCAACCTACTTGAAAGGTCTGCATAAGAAGAATGCTGTAATGGCTTTGTAATTGTAATGATTTCACAGGACGCATCTTAATTTTCCTTGAGCCCTTTGTACATCTCTAAGTAGTGCTCCTTTAGTAACTCTGTCTTCATCTTAGAGCAGTGTGTAGTATATCAAGATCCTGGGAGTCAATGGAGTATAACACATAAAAGCATAGGGTGTTTTGGCTGACAGGCAAGTACTGTTGTTGACATGGTTGCAGTTTCCTCTGCCTGATGGTGCCTGCCTTTTTGGAGGGAAATTCTATCTGATTCAGTGCAGATGCTGGGGAAAGACTGTGGTATTTTGATTTTTGAGGGATTTTTTCCTCCTCACCTTTAGAAGAAACTTCCGGTTTGTTTTGTTTCCTTTGTCTTTGTGCTTATGGAGAGCAGAAAGCAGGACTACTTTTCTGTAAAAGAAGAAAGTTGGTTTATTTTCTTTTTTAACTTAACATTTATAAGTGTTCTTGGAAGAACTCTCTTTTGGAACTAACACCTAAACCAAATCTCACTTGTCCTGTCAAAGCCTCAAGGTTTGACTTGGTGGGCATGATGCCTTAGTTCAGTTCCTCTTCTGTAAAGAGTGCCTTGTGCCTGGCTCCCGTGCCACCAGGAGCTGTTACTGAGCGTTGTGGTCTTCCACTGACGGCAGATGCCTCTCGTCTGAAGGCAGTATTTCAGGCCCTATTGAAGGGGACTTGAGAGCTAGAGGGCACACAAATGGGCCCGGCAGAACCTGTTTGGTCACAGTCTGGTTATCACTAGAGGGAGCTGGTGTAGTTCTTGGGGCATTCCATCTTCTGGGCACAGAAAGTCCCATGGGCAGCATCTGACCCCTGGGAGTCAGAGCAGATGGCTGCGAGACAGAATGCTGCTCTGGAATGAACACAACTGTATTTCTGCAGCACTAAATTCCGTGTTTTGGTATACAAATGACACAGCTACTTTTAGCTGTAATTATGGTACAAAGGGATAGTGTTGTGGCGCGGCATGCGCTCCTCTCGCCGCGGCACTCCGAGCCGTGCCAGGCTGGGCGGTGAGGGAAGAGAACGGGCGGCCGCTTCCCCCTGCAAGCTCTGCAGTTCAGTTCGTGGCGCGCGGGGACAGACGAAGGCGGCACGGGACTTGGGGGGTGAACGGGATGGTTTTATTCAGTGAGCCCCAAGACCCCCTCGGGGGCGGGAGCAGAGGTTTTATACAGAACTCAGGAGGACGGGTGTAGGAACAGTAACCACTAAGGGAATAGCAGGGGAGGAGTTTAGGGCAGAACTAACATATTACAAACCTATCAGGGGAAACAGGGGGGTGGAATAGTACAAATGGATCAATAGAGTGTTGAGCCTCACTAAATAGACAGGGAAAGGTCTGGAAGTTGAGGAGGGGGCTAGGGGAGAGCTAGGGAAGACTGACACTGGGGAGAGGAGGAGATTGGGGGGTTGGGGGGGGGGAACAGATATTAAACAAATATTAAATGAAAGAAAAACACACCACCGCAGGATAGAAAAGTCCTAATTCAGGAAATTAGTATTCCCCCATCCTCCAAGCCAATTGCAATTCATTAGAATGGCACCATATCTGTGAGTTTGAAAACCCTTGTGAATGGAGCAGCTGCAGTAGAGTGCTGTATATAGTACCACATGGTAGACACGTTTTGTAAATTTACAGAGCATAAAGTCTCAGTTGTGTTGTTCCAGTATGTTACCTTAAAAAAAGACTAAGAATTAATTAAATCACTATCAGCATTAAATGTTATTTTCTTCTGTTTTCTCCCTTAAATGTTGCTTAGATGAAAAAGGATCCTCTGTAGACTGTTTTTTAATGATGGTTTTAAATTGGTTCTTTTTAATTGTTTTTTAATGTATTTTTAAAATAATGTTTTGTACTTAAAATGTGTGCTACCTTTGTATAACATTTTTGAGACCCCTTGGAGGAACCCGACCATGAAATAGTTGGCTTTATCATTGACAGCCATTTTAAAGAACATCTTGTAGCAAAGATTCTGTGTGCTGAGTGAATATTGTTAAATAGATTTCAGAATTCCAGTTTGAATAAAGATAGCAAAGATTGTGGAAGGGTGTGATTGCAGTTTAGGAAATCATGTTTTAAGAATCTTGTGATCATGTCTGATTTGCTTTTCTGATTGTGATGTCTGATTCAACTGCTACTGATGCTGAAAGATATGCAAGTAAAGACAACATGCTGGAATATCAATCATGCTAGTGTGAAAGACATGTTAAATTTTAGCATTCATTTCCCATCTTGTTGCTATGGAATCAATATGTAGACTGTTCCCAGACAAAGCAACAGTTGTGGGATTGCTCAACAAGTATAATTAGAACATTTAATTGGCATGAGCTTACTAATGGCTAATTCCAGATGCAAGACTGCATGAGCAATGTATGAAGCATATGCTAAGGAAAAAAAATGTAGGAAGGAAAATAATTTCATGATTTTCAAATTTTTTCCTTTTTTTGAGCTTACAGATCTAAAATACATGGTATGATAGAGGTAGTCTTTTTGGTTTTTTTCTTCTGTATTAGACATTCATTACCAACAGGATCACTTTATGAAAAACATAAAGGTAATTAATGACTGACTTTTGAACCACAAGACCCAAAGCCATAACGCTGGTAATTTTTGTTCCATGTTTTCAACATCTGTTTTTTTGTGATTACTGCAGGGGAGGAGAGATGTCAGTGACACTGTGAGCCGTAAATCTGTTCCTTGTGCTGTGCTATGTAGACTTTGTATGCTAAGCTGATGCCAGTTTTCTGATCCATACAGCCCTTACAAACACACAGTGTAGAAAAGAGGATGCTTATAGAACAGTGATGCTAATGCCTTATGCTTGTTTAACTTTTGCAAAAATATCACACTTTTAGGGATAGACTAGAAATCTAAAATGCAAACCTGTGTGTAAATAGTGCAGTCCAAGGGAAATAAACTTTTGCTGGCCATTTTGCAAGACCAAGGTTTCATCTACAGGCTGTTTCAGAAATAGAAAAAGGATTTGTTTGTCCTATGTCCTACTTTTATCATAATAACATTGTTGGAAGAATTAATGAATGCAGGCTACAGCTTGGTTTTTGTATGTCACCAGAAAACAGTGTTTGAAGTGGTTTATTTGATTGTGGTATTGCAAGTACAGGGTCAGTAACAGCTGTTCTTAAGTAAGGTTTATGGGTTCTTCTTTAAAGAGAGGGATTTCTGTACACTCATTTAGTGGTAGCTCTGCCCTGATTGTAAGCTTTTCAGTCTCCAAACTGGTAGGTTAAATGGAAAAACTAATTTTGTTGCATAGTTGCTGACTCCTTCTTAGGTCAGCATTATTACTAATAAATTAAATGTTCTCTGTATGTGTCAGTGTGTGTTGTTACATAGAAGTGTGAGCATTCACTCCAAGCTGACTTCTATGGTTCAGATCAGTTTTCTGTCTCTAAGTGGTGACAGAGATATCAGGCAAGCACACTCATGTGTGTTACAGCTGTGTTGGGTGCAATTGGTCTCATAACAATAGGTAGGTGCATGTGTTCATAAGTAGCTCATAAGTTCATCTGAGGAGTTGTGATCTAATTAATAAAAATAATCTGGAGACTTTCTTCTGTCTGTGGCCAGGAGACCATAGGCATCAAGGACTTCATGATGAGCAGTTTCCTCTTGTGACTGTCCAGGTTGAGTTTGTTAACCAATGTATGCTTGAGAGGTGGTGAGGACAGTTAGAGCTGCATCACAGTGTTTTTGTGGATGATTACTGGAAAACGTGGGTAATGCATCATTTGGACATTGAGAAATGGATGGCAGCATGGATGGGTCAAAGAGAGTTGGAGTTGTCCTAAGGTCACCAGGAGCTCTGTCTGCACAGCTGGCCAAGAGCCTGCCCTTAGTTTAGCCAACAGGTGACCACACATTCCCACTATGTTGCCAGCAATTGTCTGAGCTAGCATTGGCCTCCATGAGCGGCAACCTATTACAAGAGAATACAAGTGGGAACTAATAACCTGTGTAAATACATATGTTGTGTTGCCCAGTCTTTCCAAATGAGTCTGTGAAGCCTGTGCCATTTTTTCCTATGCTGTGTCTCACCTGCAGATACCATACACTTACCTCATCCTGCCAGTACTTCCATGAGAGTCACTTTCCCCCATTAACCTTTTTCTGATGGTGGGTGGGACCATCAGAAATTCTGCAAAGAAAAGTCATATTCTGATTAGTCTTTCTGGTAGAAGCTGTACCCATAGGGTGTCCAAATGACACAGTGGCATTAGTGAAGCCCCCTTGACTCACATCTGACCAGATCTTTTAATATAAAAAAATTGTATTTGCATCCAATACAGTGCTTGTTTTGTTTCTTTCTTTCTTTCTTCACACTGTTTTCAAGGTCATTGGAAGACATTTTAAATGTAGAATTGATTTTAAATACAGGGAGTTCTTGGTGATGTAATTTTTTTTCAATGAAGTATTTAGAAAACCATTATTTAAGTTGTAAATAGAACAAATTTGCAAGTTTTCAAATATATGGTTAGGGCTAGGGTTTTATATCTATGTCCCACAGGCAATATGTTGGTGTGGTTGTTGAGGTGGGGGGAAGGGTATTGGGTGGTGAGTTTTGGGAAAGGAGTGGTTGGAGCTTTTTAGCCCCAAAAAAAATCAAGGAAGTTTTCAGTTGAGCATCTGTCTTCTGCAGAGGAAACTTGCAGAATAATGTTTAGGGTTGTTTTGGTCATTAGATGTGAAGCACACAATAATGGCCAGACTATGTTTGTACAATTGGAGGATATTTCTCATAATGAAGGAAGTCTCCAAGGTCAGGATCTACAATACCCGGAGAAGTTACATCACTAAGCCATAGCTGCACCAGCCTGCTCTCTTCCCCTGCTTCACCCCCCACCTTTTATTTTTGCACACTCTTTCTCAGCATAAGTGTTGCACGCATCTCTTGCAAGAATACCATGGTTTTGACTTGGGCTTGTGTCTACTGTGTTATTTAGTTATTAAATACACCCCACCTTCAAAAACGAAACCTGAATGTTTTTTTTAAAGTTTCATTATAGACTTCTAATATCCTGTACATTCCCAAACTCCATTTGTCTAGCTTCTGGTTTTGCAATGAGAATTACATTGTACTGTGATGATGGCAGCAGCAGCAGCACCACCTGGATGTAGTCTGGCCCTATGCATTTTAGTTACCTCCTACCTGCCGTGTGAAGGCAGTAGGCATGACAGGCTCACACCTTTGTGTTGAGCTGTGTCTGAAGAAAAAGGTTCTGGGCTATTGTAGAAAAATTTGCAAGAGGGAAAAGAGAAAAGGCTAGATCTTAATTTTTATAGTGCACTTTGTATCTCCGTTTACTATGGAAATTAATATTACTGGTACATGAAACACCATCTGGAAACCTTGGATACAATCTCTTTCTTGGCATTTTTCTTTTTGTGTGTGTTTCTATACATGATATTTCAGTGCAAGGACTCTTTTATAATCCTGCTTTTTTTTTAAAGCAGTATTTTTCATGAGTGTTCACTTGGTTTAGTTGTTACCAAACCATTTACTAACTAACTGTTAATATAAATTCAGCTTGTCTTATAATGGAAAGAACAAGGACACTCCTAAGAAGCTTACCTGTTCCTTTTATTTGTTTTCCAACCTCCTGGTGTAGTTTTCTGTTGTTCCATCAACAGGATAGCAAAATGAGAGGTTGCTCTACATACTTCTCATTGCTGTAGACCTTCTTCTGTTTGTACCCAAAACTCTGACTCAGTGCTGTTAAGTCAGCCAAGTCTTTCCCTGGCTTCAGGTTGTTCTGAATCAGCCTATAAACCTAAAATTCAAAGCTGCTTCTAACAAAGAAAACAAAACATTTTTCCTTCAGTTTCTAACAGTACTTGTGTTGTGGTTTAAGCCTGTTGTTCACACCTAATCATGTTCACCAGTGATTATTCCAGGCATCATATGTTTGTGTGAAATCACCTAGTATTCAATATTTCCTTCATTGCATTTGGTTCATCTTCAATTAATGCATTTTTAAAGGGCGGTGGTGTTCTGCCATCCCTGCTCTCTCACTCTGCAATTGGGAATGGTGGTTAGGAAGGGTTGTAAACGTCATCTAGGTAGTTAGGTAATCCCTGGTATTTAAGGAGGTGAGAATAAACACTGATCTTCTTTTAGGTGTGGACAGGTGTGAGATAGGTTGAATCGGAGAAGTTGAAGGAAGATTTTTAAAGTTGAAAATATGTCTTTTGGAAAGTGTGCTAGATGTGTTGGTTATAAGTTGCTCATCCTTGCCCTCCTCTGCATTGTGGCCAACATTTTACTTTATTTTCCCAATGGTGAAACAAGGTTTGCTTCAGAGCATCACCTCAGCAAGTATGTGGAGTGCCTTCATGGCATTCTAGGTGGAGGCTTTCTGGTAAGTAATAACCTAGTGTCTTCTTTCATGTTTATTTTGGAGGTATGTGATACTGCTCTTTCTCTACTGATTACCTGAATTTGTTCATTAAATATTGTGTCAACAGGTGTCTCTGGAGTTGTATAAAAAAAAGAGCTATATAATCCCACAGCTATTACTAATTACTATTGATTATCTTATCTACAACATTCTGTCACTTTAAAGCTGAAAAAATCATAGAGTCAAGGCACAGAATCGAAATGCAAAAGTGAAACCAAGCCTTTCAGCAGGTCACGGTTTGCATAAAGGGTTAAATTAAATCTTACATTTTTGTTATATTATTGAACCACTTTCCTTTTAAATGTCCCTAAATAATGAGCATTTAGACACAATTCCTTAATTTCTGTTATCTGACATGCTGGCAGGTATTTCTCTGCCAGCATCTATTTCTGTATTATTCAGAGGAATTAAGTGGTAGTTGTCAAAGCTTTGCATTTGAGTAACACAATGCAAGGACTGAGTGTGTTTGTTATAGGATGTCATTAATCTGAAGCTCTTATTTTCTAACTTGTCAGTTTTGTGGCCCACACTGCAGCATATTTAAGACCCCTAACTCCAGGCTTCCTTTTTCATCTTCTTTTAGAAGTCCTCTTAGAAATAAGTAAGTTATAGGTCCCTTGCTATTCTTAACACTCTATAATTTTATGTCTCAAGGTGTCTGCAAATCGAGGTTGAAAACAATCGCATGCTAAGATATTTTGTGTTGTCAGAGGTGCTTACAGCTGTATTACAGTCCCATTGGGACCTAGAGTGGGATTTGCAAAGACTGGGCTTTACACACAGAATAATACAAGTGGCACCAATGGAACTTCTCCTGCAGTGCACTTGTACAACCCCTTCTGGACTTGAAGCATTGGGGCTCAGCAACAGGTTTGAGCAAGGGCTGACAAGTATGTGTCTGTTCAACAGAATAGTTCTTATTCTAGTTTAATATTAAGTAAGTCTGTAGCATTTGCAAATAACTCTCTACTCTTTTTTTATTTTTTTTTCCCCAGAGTACTCTTGGGCATAGAGTCTTTATAAGTGGACACTATTAAGTGCTGTTATTGCTAGTGGGAGGATCCTCCTTTTAATCAGCTCCTTCTTGTTCATTCAGTCCATTCTGCTCCTTCAGTTCCTTATTGATTTTGTGCTAAAAACCGGAGTATGGATGGTTTATGTTTCTCATGGATAGCTTCTGCTTTGTTACTTTGCATTTCTGTCACTGGGAACTGGTTGTGAAATCTTGGAAAAAAGGAGATGTCTGTAATGATATGTTTGTCTGAATTGAGCAAAATTTTACTAGTTTTTCACTCTAGTCAGACTGGTTTGTCACACAGGTAAAGATGATTGCTCTTAAGTAACAAGTATATTGGCAGTAGCTGTTTTTCAAAAATCTTTATTTTGTGTCCTCATTGGAATAAAGTTAATGCATTTTTTTTTTTTTGCAAAGCATTTTATTTGCAAATACAGCCTTTAATGAAAAGATAGTTTTTAAAAGCTGAAATACTTTAAATGTAGCAATACCCCAACAGTCTTTTCTGTGCTTAAGTGCAATATTGCCACAGTGGCAATAGAAATATACCTGTCCTGGAGTTGGTGATGTCAGTAGTGAGATGCCTACTGTGTTAAACAGGAGTAAAGCTGAATCTCCTGTACAGGCTGACTGCCGAGAAGCAACATAAATGAAAGGAATTTGAAGACTGTATTAATTCTGCCCTCCCTGTGCAACCAAAAGGAATAGTGTGGGTTTTTTGCTCCATACCCAGGTACTCGTTCCAGCTGCAGTGTTAATTGGGCTCCACAATGAAGACTGCTGTGGGTGCTTTGGCCATGAGGGCTGTGGAAAGAGCTGTGCGGTAAGTGAGCTGTCCGTTCCATCCCAGATAATCCCAAAGACAAGGCGATGGCTGTGCTGAAAATTCCTGTTTATGTCTGCTGTGTAGATGCTGTCCTCGGTTCTGGCAGCCTTTGTTGGGATCCTTGGCTCTGGATACTGTATAATCATTTCAGCACTGGGCTTGTCTCAAGGACCATATTGTCTTACCCACCTAGAAAGAAACTGGATCTATCCTTTCACTGATTCCTCTGGAGGGTAAGTTTTCTGCTCATGAGGATGTCATCTCTTCCCAATATACACACGGGCTTTATTTCAGTACCTTTCAGCAATGTTCAGTAACCATATACCAAAATCTAGTCATAACTTTATCCTTCCCACTTAAAACTTAACAAATGGCATCAGTTACTCTCACTGCTAGAGTATAAAAACCAAAGCATTAAAAAATATATCGGTGATTAAATCTACACATCCTATATTGTTCATGTCCACGAACATCTCTAACAAAATACAAATTTTTAGGACTTTGAAGGATTTGCAAACTAGGAATTGTGGTTGTTAAGATATTTGTCTTATCATGTAAGAGTCTGTTTTAACAGCCTTGCTTCTGAAGCTGCTTTGCACCAGCATAAGGTGGCACAATGCCCACATTAGTGATAATGACACAATCTCATAAATGAAACTTGAGATGATTTATAAGAATCTTTGTACACTGCAGGGCAGAGGGGGCAAGAACTCCTAATTATCCCTAATTAAGGTTCTCCTGCAAAAAAAGTCTTCGTGCTATTCTCTATTAATACACATAAATCCTGATGTGGTTCATATCATGGCATGTATTTAAAGTGTCTGTATGGTTGGCAACCTCAAGGGTGTATCTAGCAACAGCTTATGGCTCATGCCAGACTAGGCAGTTGGAGTACTAAGAAGCCACATAAAGCTCTTTGCAGCAGAATTTGAATTTTATATTTCACTTGTATATCTTGTATTTCACTTGTATCATTCCTCCTTCTCCATCCTGCTGACCTCCATCCTATGACTGAGTGTAGAAGAACTAGGTTAAGTCCTTGCTGAAGGCAAGTGCTGATGTTCTCAAGATGTGAGTGAGCAGTAACAGCTGAAATACTGCAGTACCACACCAAATTTACTCTGTGTTTGGCTCATCCAAGTAAACATGTGAGGATGCAAAGACAGCAACACAGGAGAGAAAGTGACCCATTTGCATCAGATCAGTGACTGCTATCTTTAGAAAAAAGTCCCAGTCCTGAAAAGCTCTATTATTGTTTTGAGAAAAACCTTTGCTCTTTCAGCTTTTTTGAGTTTGTTCCTCACTTTAATCAGCAATAGGAAATTCTGCCTTTATAGCTTAGATTATTTTTTAAAAAGGAAATTAAGACTTAGCACAAATGTGTGGTTGGTATTTCAACATCTTCCTAAACCAAACAAACTTGCATGGAGTAAACCATTTCTTTTTCTATTCCCTTAGGAATCTATTTCTAAGGGAACCTAGCCTATTAGGACTCCATAAAGTGAATATCCTCGATGCAGTTATAGGCATAATTTGGTTATAGTATATGGTAAGTATCCTACTCTGACCCAATATTAATATGCTTTTAATTGCTGTGTACAGGTACTTGTTTGAGTATAACAAGTGGTCTGAATGCCAGGAGCCTCAAAACATCGTGCAGTGGAACATCACTCTCTTTTCCATCCTCCTTGTTTTGGGAGGAATAGAATTCATTCTGTGCTTCATACAGATAATCAATGGCATTCTTGGAGGACTGTATGGATTGTGCTGCAGTCATGAGGAGGTAAGGAGTTTGCAGATATACCCGTGCTTCTCAGATGAACATGTAGCTTGTTACTTTAGCTTGTTACTTAAACTACTGAGGAGTTTTACTCAGCTGTTACTTTATAGGTATTCTTAAGCAACAATTCCCTACACAGGTGTTTCTATAGCCCGGTCGTGGTTAGAATTTTCATGTACTTTGATCACATGCTTTCAGCTGATTCCTCAATGGCCACAGTGATGTTAATCTGCCTGAGAGCTAGGAGCTAGAGGGCTTTTGTCTGTCTGATGACACATGTGATCATCATTGCACTGCATAGGTGATATGGCTGAGATATGGATCTCCTGGTGATTGAGATCTTTGCCTAAACCATTGTTGCATAGCGTGGTGCTTGTTCTACCTATATTGTGTTAGCCTTGGCTTTTGTCCATAGCAGCTCATAAGCTACTGACAATATGCTGCATATAATGAAAACTGCAGCATCCTGGCCTTGCAAAGTGGAAGTAAGATGAGAGAAAGCTATATGCAATTTAATTCTAACAAAATCTGCAGACAGATCTGGAAGGTTTTTGAAGGCGGAATTTTTTTTGAGTGAGGAAAGGAAATTTTCTAAAAATTTCTTTAAAGCCATGTAAAACAGTTTGGACATATTCCAAAATCAGTATCAGAGGGCTAGTGTTGGAAAAACTATGGCTTAAAGTATGAACCAGATATAATTTGTATCACACACTATAGGTAAGCATGCATTTCACATTTTTAATTGACAGAGTTGAGTGCTCTTTCAAAGCTATTGCTGTTTTCTTCCTCCTGTCTTCCTTGCTCTAACTCCAGTATAGAAGAGCTATGCTATGATTTTCTAAATGTGCTCAGGTTAACTTTTGTATTGTTAGTTGGATACAATATTAACATTCTTTCCATTAATATGTTTCTTTCTTTTTGTTTCTCTCTGCAGACATATGTTTGCTAGAAACCTGACAATGTGTTGACATCAGTGCATGTGTGTGCTGTAATGAATATGCTGTGGGTTTTTTTTGAACATTCCAGGCAAACTTAAATACATGTTGTTGTCAAACTGTGCTGTTGCCATGAATTTAACTGACTTGGGGCCTTTGTTTTTGGAGTCATATGCAGGTTTTCCACTAACCTGCCTGAACTGAAAGGCAAAATGTATCCTTCATATCTTTGGTTCATTTCATCTTGGTACAGGCAACTGCCTTAATACACGTCACTAAAGTGGTTTTATTTATTTTTCTCTTTCTACTGACACAACAGCTCTGTACTTTGTCCTGTTTTCCCAGTAAAGTTGCTCTTTCATTGAGATCTTGGAATGAACACAAACCAAGTCCAGACTGGCCTGGATAAAAGGTTTTGGTCACCTGGACCAAAACCAAAGCAGCTGTAAAATGTGGATGATTGAGGGCTTTTCAGGATTTTTCTGATCTTCCCCTGTATTTCACAAATAAAGATTTGTATTAAAAATACCCAGGAGGTGTCAGTGGTTCCTTCCCTGCCCATGCTGAAACACTGCTTGCCTGGTCTTGGAGTAAAGGACAGTGGTGGCATGAGAATATGGATTTAATGCAGTCAGGTTGTAAGCTGTTTTTCTTCTCCAGCAGGCTCTGCCAGAGTGGGAACTGCTTCCTTGCTTGGTTTGGTTCATTTAACTGAAACAGGTGTTTGTTCATCAATAAGGGTTCAACGACAGCTCTGGGTCAGGTACAAGAGCACACATGGAGACTTTAGTCCTGGGTCAGGGCTGGCAGTTCCCAGCCAGGGAGCTGAGGAGGTCCCTGCACATCTGAGCCCAGCTTACCTCCTCCTGCCCTCTTAAGGGAGGGATCAACTCCTGATTGATCCACTACAGGCCTGAGATAAAACAAGATGTGGGCATGAGTCTTGTTTTTTGCCTCAGCAACCCTCAGGCCTCACAGCATTCAAGGAATACAGTCCAAATTCAGGTCCATAAAGACAGATTAAACTGAAATACCTGACTTTACCAGTTATCAGCCTGAAGATGTTACTGTAAGGTCCTGGGTAAGAACCTCTGAAGTGTAGCTTGTTGCACACTAGAGTGAATGTTTCATCACAGGTACATCTGAATAATGTGCTATCAACAGCATTGCTGCTGGCAATGGCATTTTTCAAGTGAAAACCAAAATGTGACATGCTCTTTATCTCAAAGGAATGAGGCTCAGTTTTGGATTTTAGCTGTTCATATTTGTCTTTGAAAACAAGCAAGTTAGTTTCTCTTCATGGGAGAAAAAGAAGTTCCAATGGGTGTCAGTGCATCCTTAGGCTATTTGTAACTAAGAGGGTTGTCCTTAAATATAGCCAGAAACTTCAGGTGTATCTCAGGCTGTCTGCACATTTAAGTCTGCCCTGTACAAATACATACCTGAAAAAAAGAAGTGAACTGTGAAAACAAAATTGTCTATGTATAGCTACACCAGCAAAAGAATTCTCAGATGAAAAGAGTTTGTACCTAGAATCTCAGGATTCCTGAATTTTGCAAGAATATTTATTCATGCCTAAATACATAGAAGTAATTGAGAGACTTTAATGCAATTTAATGCCATTTAATGACATTTCTTTGTAGTATCTATCCCTGTCCTGCCTTGGTATGGGGGGGCGGTGGGGGGGGAAAGAAGGAGAATGTGTGCATGCACATATGTGTACACACTAAATTCCTTGCAGCTGTGTGATGCAGTGTCTTTGTGTGTGAAGATACAGTTTTGGAAAAAATATCTGCAAGTTTAAATGGGTGTGGAATGAGAGAAAGTGGAAGAGAAAGTCCTCAATGGAATAATGTACAGTTACCATGCGACTTAAGGGTTTTTGCCTTTATTCTTGCATAATGGTTATTTGTTTTTCTGGTACACACAATTACTTAAAGAACTGAAACAACTTTACTATATATAGAATTCCAATGTATAGAATGAGTAGGCTAGGGTTTAGACTTGAAACTTCAGCACAAATGCATGCAGCAGCAATAGAGTCCTGTAGCCCTAATGCACAGTATTACTGCTCACTATTTATATTGTCATGTAAAAAACGGCCAGCTGGATTATTTTGTTGTCTGGTGCATGAGACAGTGTTTTGAGAGATTTATCAGTTACATTATGAAGAAGTGATCGGTTTAGGTTGTATTCATATCAGCTGGCAGAGAAGTCAGAGTAAACATGACTTTTCGGTAACAGGCTTGGAATCAGTTCATGAATAATGATACCAATGGAAAAGCAATGCTTGCAACACTGCTTGATGCTTGAGAAACTGGCTTACAGGTTTGTTTAATTCTTAGTATAAAGTAGTTGTTTCCTGTTCTAGTGGCATTGTGTGCCAAAAAATAACCACACTGTAAATTGGTATTTGCAGAGCTCAGTTTAAAAACAGAGTCATGAAGCAGACTGCTGTACTGCAGAGCAAATGCTGCTTCAGTCATAATTTCTCAAGTTAGTTTCTTCTAATCAGAACAAGTTAGAATGGAAATTACATCAAATTTGATTATAAAATAAGATGCTTGCTACTAATTTTGGCCTTTGCTTTTAAGAAAATATTTCAGCCAATTATATGATCTTTGAGTTTTGTACCAAAAAAAAAAAATCAGTCATGGGGATTGGATGCGTGTGATTTTAATGCAGCTGTTTTCTCTGTTCTCTGTGACAGTGTTGATGACATGAGTTCTGTCTCTGCCTATGAGTCTGGAAAGGCATATTTGCTGCTAATTCTGATTAGTGGGAGACCTGAAAAAAAGTATCCATAGTAGTGAGAGAGTAAAACAGGAAATATGGGAAGATCAAGAATGAGGACTTCAAAATGAAGCCTCCTAGGTAAAGAGGAGAGTCACAGCAGAGAATAGGTAGAAAAATGGTGTAATTATTTCCTTGTGTGATCTTGTATTAAGCAATAGTATGGAATTAGTTACAACATGCAATCCAAACAGCTTTTATGAGAGGATGAAAGAAGCCTGCTCTATGAAGAGCCCGAAACAGCTCACAAGGAAACACAAGGAAAATACGTTGGGATGTCATTGCTTCTAAAATCAGCCTTCCTGATTTTGATAAAGCCCTCAATTTTTGTTTGTTTTATGGGTGGGTGTTTTTTTGTTTGTTTGTTTGTTTGTTCGTTCTCTGGCTGCAACTTTGCTATTGAGTAAAGCATAAGGTCATTCTTGAGTTACTTTTCTGGTGACTCACAGGGGCATAAGATTGAAGGCTTGGGTTGTGCTGCAAGTGTTCAAAATGCCCTGGCTCTGTGTTACTGGGATAGTGTTTAGATGCTCAGGGGTTGAGGAATGATGACATTGACTATGGGAAAGATGTCTGACTTTGGCTTTGCACAGTACAAACAGTAGGCATTTCAAAACAACAGACAGACCTTTTGTCCTGCACAAGAAGTCATGTGTACATAGGTCAGGTTTGTAGCTGTGCAAGCTCAGCTGTAAGCACAGAATGAAACAATTGGAGAAATAGCAGGATTTAATTTGCAAGGTACTGGAGCCACATAATGCTGTGGAAAAGAGCAGTTGATTAAAAGTGTGAAAATAAGTCTGCCTTGCAGTTTTTAACCAGTATTATTTGGGCTTCTATAGTCTCTGCAAGATGGCCCGGACTCAGCCTGCTGCTGCAAGTCAGTAACACATTGGTTCCCACCCAGGGTCCTCTTAATAAATCTCTGTAGTGTAAGGCAAAGTGTGACCTTCTGTACAGAGACTGGGCATATTTATCTTCTTACAGCTCTCTTCCCCATGCTGCAGTAAGGTTGAAAAACCTTGCTTCTGTCACAAACTATGTTGCGGTATGTGTTGTGGGGAGGAGGACATTTTTGAGCAGTCACTAGGAAATGAGAGCTTTGAAGTTCCTTCCTGAGGCTGACTCCTAGACATATTTCATTTGGAAGATCACAAAGGAGGATTTTTAGAAGGGAAATTACTACATAAAGACGTGCTTAACACAGGACAGTGAGTTTAGACAGTGATATTCATATGTTGTTTTGCTAACTGTTAAGCACTTCTGTCCCTGGAATCACACCCAAGTCACTGGTTCCTGTGAATATGAAATTACTGAATCAAGCTGGGGAGGTCAAAACGTTTCTTATAGTGAAAGTCTTGTAAACTTTTGTTAGCTTAGAAGAACAAAACTTCCAGAGTTCTTGAGAGATGGCTTTGGAGACATGTGGAAGCTGTTTGAGTTGTCTGCTGGTGCCTCTTGCACTTTGGAGTATTGTTGTGAACATCCTCCTATACTTTCCAAATGGGAAAGCTCTGCATGCTGCCAGTTACCAATCCCCCAACCATGAGTGGTATTTTGAAGGCATCTGTTTCTCAGGTGTGATGGTAAGTGCTCAGTCTATGGATTTTTAATGAATTGCATTCTACTGCAAATAATATTGACTTACTCTTCAGTAATGTAATTGCTTTGAAAAAAAAAAAAGCATATGGATTACTTCAACAAAAACCATTGCAGGCAGAAAAAATCAAACTGAAAGAAAAGTTAGCATACTGAATGACATGTTATGTATGTTATTAAGTGCAAATGATTTTGCAGGGTGTGTTGGTGGTTTTTTTTCTGCTGTCCTTTTGTTTATATGTAATTTATGCTTGTATTATGGAGGCAAGCAGTTTGTTGATTTAATCACCTGTGGATGTTGAATTAGAGCTCTTTTACCCAAATGGAAATAAAAGAGCTTCTCATAATGGTTAAGATGTTTTTCAAAGCTGTATGCAGTCCACTATTTAGAAGACTGAACAGAATTCACAACGCATCAGGTACTACTGTTGTCAGACTAAATACAGAGAATTGTCTTACTGTGATTAGCATGGTAGGATTTTCCCTGTTACATTTGTAATATGCTCATCTGCAGTAATAAACTGCCGTGGAGTTGCCTGCTATTCATGCTCTTTTCCACGTTCATGAAGAGCTGTAACCTCAGGAACAGAAAGCAGTTATGTGAACAAAGTGCATTGCACACAGTGCTTCAAAGGGTTTATCTGCATAAATTAGGAGTTTTTATGCAGGTGCTGAACTGTTATTAAAACATTAGACATTCATTTGAAATTGTATATTCTCTTAAAAGCAGAAGAAAAACCTTCAGTTCTAGCAGAAGAAAAAAACTACCAGACAGAGGATTCAAACAGAAAAACAGTTGCAAATATATAAAAAAAGTTAACTGTGACAGTGGCACTAATATTTTGAAGCATCTTTAGCCTTAAGATTATTACCAATCTGTTTAAAATGCATCTATCATTCTGTTACAAACCAGTCAGCAGCATATGAGAGGATAGCGTTGTGATTCAGGAGTACTCTTCTCATACTTCCCTTTTCAAACCTGTGCCTCTCTGAATGGCTGTTTGTGGTTCTGGAGCCCAGATCCTATTTATCAAAATTATTATAGGATCAAGCTTAAATAATCTAAAAGTCTGAAGAAATCAATATGGATACTTGACAAATGAAAGTCCAGGTGAATTTAATCAAAAGTTTGCATTACTGACTTCTTCTAGAGTGAATGTGTTGGTAAGGAAGGCACTACTCTGATTTGTGTGCCTGTGTCAGCAAGAAGGTGTTGAACGGATGTGTTTGTATCAATAAAATATCCTTCTTTTCATTGGTATTAATTCTTTTGCTTGTGACCTTGGTTTTATAGTTTCAGCTTCACTGGTGTAGCTGTGCCCAAGGTCGTAGCACTTTACTGTGATGGAAGAGGGTGTATTTTTGTCTTTCAAGTACAAGTATAGCAGCAGCCAACTAAATCACTCCAGTTCCATGTATCCCTTGAGTAATTGTGCTGTCCTATGGATCAGCTTTAAAATATCAAGACAGCAGAAGAGATGCAGTCCCTGCCTTCCAAAGGTGAAGGAGATTTTGGCTTAGTATCTGCAGTTACCTCACTGACCATTATGTCCTCTTATAGATCCTTCTTTTGGCAGTAATTATGATAACACTGGAGTGTAGTGTGTTCTATCGGTGCTGCCAGAGTGAGAGCTGTAACAAAACCTACAGGGTGAGTCTGTGTGTTATTTCTGTGCATCACCTGAGCATTTGTTTCTAATGCCTTCCTGCTTCTACTCCAGCACATCCTGCTCCTCTCTCCGCTACTCTGTTTTCACTTCCTTTCACAGAGGATTCTAAATTGGGTTGCAAGGTCACAAAAAGTGTAGCTTCTTTCATCTGAAGCATAAGCAGGATGAAAGAAAATTAGACACACCCTTCCCCTAAATCCTTGTAAAATAAAATAACATATAATGAAGCACACCAGCTAAATTACTTCATCTCTTTGCCTGTATTATTTGGAAGTGGGTTTTTGGTTTGTTTTTTTTTTTTCAGAAATTACTCAATACACGCTATCTGGGATGCAGACATATTTATGTGTTCCTCTGGTATTTTGGGAAACAACTTTACAAAAACTCAAGTTTAAAAAGCCCACCCAAATAATATATAACTTACAGTTGTAGAACCGTCTTAAGATCTGTCTTAATTTTTATTTTGTATGTGTATTCTTACTATTCTTTACCTGCTATTTTTCTTTCTGAATTTTGAAGACTGGGAAAATCAAATGTGAAATTCAGCCCAAGGAAGTAGCTAGACTGAATGATCATATTTGCTGTTGACACTGTCCTCACAAGGTAATACTTCTCTCTCTCTTTACTTCAGAGTTTTGTTTCTATCGTGCTAGCCCTGCTTGGAATTGCTTTCTCGGGATACAGCTGCATCATTTTTACCCTGCATTTGATTCAAGGACCTTTCTGCCATTCATCAAGTGGATGGAATTATATTTTCAAAGACACTGCTGGGGGGTAAGAAACATTGGTGTAACTCTTCTGGAAGAAATTGTTTATCAAATCAGTACTAAGAAACATTCTTCTTACTTCAGTCTGGTGTTTCTCTAATAGGTACCTCACAGATTACCCTGCCTGGTCTAAGTGCACAGGACCTGCTAACATAGTGGAGTGGAATATTATTTTACTCTCGATTTTGATAGCTCTCAGTGGGTTACAGTTGATCATCTGCATTCTCAAAATAGCCGCTGAGTTGAAACGAACACTCTGTGGGACCTATTCTGTTTTTGTGCAGGTAACAAAACATCTGAGGTTTATTCCTTCAGCATCTCCTTGTCACTGTAGCTTCAGCAATTTCTCTCACTTGGGGATTTACCCTTTTGATTTATGCGTTCTCTATGCAACGGCATATTTTTTCAAGAAAATATGTACTGATAATACATTTGTTTATTTTGATTCATCCACTAATTTCTTGTGGTATACAGAGGTTGGTGGCTGCTCACTCTGACCTTTAAGATTGGACTGAGAAGAAAAAAAAGTGGTTAGGAAATTAACATGGATGCCAAATCCATTACTGTTATGTCAGCAGAGGTTGCTGAACACCTTTGTTCTGACATTCATTTTACAGACATTCTTACTAATGTGTGGCTCTCACAGCAATGATGAGAAAGATTAGCACTTTTTTTTTTTTTTTTTACTTGCAGGCTGGGATTCTCTGAAAATGTCAAGGAAATTGCTTCTCTCCTGTCTCCAGAAAAACAGAGAAATGGGCTTTCCATAATCATAGCGGTAGATTTGTGTGCTACAAAGAAAAATGAAACCCTTGTCTTAAATCTCTGTTCATCAAACCTCTCTGTTTTGGATGAAGTATATTTAAATGTCTGATATTTACATTTTCCTTCACCTGTCCTGTTGCGCCTGGCAGGGACACTCCACTTTTTACCCTCCAACTTGTGACAGTAGGGATATTTGAATATAACAGAACTGCTTTTGCATTGAAAGCACCTTATTATTTTTTCTTAATAAACTGCTGTAGAATTGCTTTTGTACTCCCCTGTCATTGCTTAGACCACGTGACTCTTTGTTGTTTTGCAAGGGCCTGGTTCAAAGCCAAGTATATCAAGAGGGGTTGATGTACCATGAAGCCATGATTTCTAAATGAATGAATTTTAGTTACAGACAGACCATGATGGCAATCATGGAAGGACACAGGCGGAGCCTACCCTCCTCCCTCCATCTTAGAAGTTCATAACAGCAAAAAGCAATTACTGAAAAAGTCTGTTGAGTCTTTCTGCGGTAAAAAAGGCACCTGAGCCTGATTGACATATTAGACACACAGGTCTGAACACAGCTGTGATAATAGGCACATGTTAATGGCTGTACAGGGTTTCTTTCCACTTAGATGCAACCTTTTTCTTTTAGTCAAGTACGATGTGACTTGAGGCAACATATGAGGGAACCTTGTGAGTACCCAGTGCTAGCTTATTAAAATTCTTCCAAGTATCCTGACCATGCTACAAGGAAAGGCTAAAATTCTTGACAATAATGATCAGATGAAAAAGAATAATCTGTTTAAAATTAGCAGCTAAAAGGTATTTTGACTTTCTCAGAGAATTATTTTTTCATTCCCAGTGAAAATTCAGGGATTCACAATGAAGTGGACACCTGGCTCATTTGCAGTTGCATGGGGAGTATTTGGCTGTATTTAGCACTCCTGTTTGTTTGTTTTATTTTTTTCCTCTGAAAAACTTCAGACTTTGCAGTAATGCATGTATGTCTATTACATCAGAACTAGTGCAACATTGTCATCAAATACTAAACACTGTTAGAAATGCAAACCATATAATAAGTGTCAGCTTTGAATAAATTATTTAGAAGAAAATAGAATATATCAGTAATTTAGTTCTGTTTCAAGACAATATTGAGTTTTTGTCTTCAAATTCCTTTGTCAGATGCTTTTGAATAGTTGATTTCTTTCTGTAGGATTTCAAGAATGCATCTAAAATTTTAATTGCTTAGTTTCTTTTAAGTTGCAAGTATAAAATAATAATATTTAAATGGGGCTAGTCTTTTGGGAGATGGTTCAAGGTGGCATGGATTGTTAGAGGTGCATGATACAAAGGCATGATGATAAAATGAGATCTGTGTCATTGCACATTGATTTTCTCTAGACTTAAATATGTGACATATCACTTATCTTAAATGATAATCCTACATTTTTATGGATTTGTGGGTGTTGTTTTGGGACAGAAGAAAAAGAAAGAAAACTTAAAAATCAGCCTATATTCCTACCAAACATCTCAGAGAATCTTGCTGATTTCTTGCCTACAAACTCTGGATCTGTCTTCATAATTTTTTGTGTGACTGTGCCTGGTGAATTTACATTTCCATTCTATATCAGACATCTCTTAATTTTGGGGCTTAAATTAAATATAGAGACATGTAATGTAGTTCTTGTTTGGCTTCCTGATCCTGCAACCCTTTTTACCCATAATCCAGAATCTGGCATCTCCATTACCATAGTCAGCTTCAACTGCAACTTGGTCATTCCACTTTAAAAGGGGCAGTTTATTCACTTGAAATTGTTAAGAATACGAACATAGGGCTGTATTTCCAAATTTAACAGCAAATTTCACACAGGGCTTTTGGATGTAAGGCAAAGTTAACCTTGATATAATTAGTTTAAGTCCTGACTCATCCTAAGTATTTTGTCCTTAAAAAGTGGCGCTATGAACTGTGTCTTGTAGCAGAACCAAGATTCCTGCAAAGAATTTTAATTAATTGGCTTGAAATCTAGACATAACCAATGATCCTGATGGTGTCTGAGGTAATGTGACCGTCCAGCTGCAGAAGATAGACCTCACTCAACAGGGAGAAGTGGCCCTTGGGGCCAGGACAAGGCTTCTGCAGGGTTGGAATGTGGAGAAACCCTTCTTTGCGCAAGAGCTCCTGGACATGGAATGCACATCCTGCCTGCTGAAATCCCCACATGAAACACCCCAGGCACAGGAGGAAGAAAGCAGCGGATATGAGTTTATAAACTCCTGGCAGAGAGGAATTAGTGCTGAATCTGGAGTAAGAGTCCAAGCATTATTTATCCCCCATAGCCAGTGCATTTTGCAAGAGTATCAGGATTCTGTGTCTGGGACAGTAATGCAGTTCATTTAAAAGACTGTAGCTGGAAATCACAGTAGACATTCAGTTTTGTAGTAAAATATTGTGGAGCCCCATCCACACTTTTGCATGTGTAGGGTATACTAATATTTTTTAATATTTGTAGAGTATATTAATATTTGTTTAGGTAAAAGTGCCTTTTGCTAAACTACAATTTCCTGATTGTTCCCATTATGGATAGAGGGGTTTTCCACGTAGAATGGCAGAGAACAAACGGGGCTCCTCCAGCTCTTTAAAGGGTGTTTAACTGCAGAGGTTTACAAGCAGCCAGAGCAGAGGCACGGGCAACAGACACACATCGTTCAAATGCGGGAATTGTGAAGTGGTGGGGGTTCAATTCAGTCTCGCTGTGTGGTCTTATGAATTATACATATGAGATATATGATATGCATATCTTATGAATATTAATATATATGTGACCTTTTGTCAGAATATTCCATTTGGGGGTTTGTTTATTCTTTTCTTTCAAGGAAAATTTCTGAAATAAAATGTTGGCTTTATCTTTCCAATGGAATTTTGGGGGTTTCAAAAACAGTCAGAGTATTTCAGCATCTTTAATATGAGAATTGAGGTATTATGGTTTAAAACAATTAAGGGGTATTAATGACAGCAAACTGCAGACTCATTATTTAACCAATTGAATAGGGTCTTTTTATTTAGGTCCTGAGAAGAGTTCCTGCTTTTCAGACACCCTCTGAAGATAATACAGACTTGAGAAGCTGAGGAACTTTGGTCAGGTTTTTGAGTTTCTTAAGAAAAAAATAAGAGAAGTGTGTTCAAGCATATTCCTCTTTTGGGGGAGGTGCGATTAAAAGCAGGAGTGGAAAATATTGCCTGTCAGAAGTTTTTGTTATATTTTTGCATACGAAAAGCATTCAGTTCTTTTGCAAATCAATTAAGAGTGATTTAGAGTGCTCAGGGGTGTAAGGCAAAGTAAAGCATATATTTTTACCCTAAAATAAATGTGGAGATTTCAAGGGTTTTTTTCTCTTCCTCAATCAATTGGAAATCTAAACAAAAATATATAAAAAACCTAACAGGAGGTAAAAGCTTTCTTGTTTTTACCTCACCTAATTTACAAATGGGGCATATGCAACCCCGATAAGCTGATCTTTCCACTGCACTACTTATCTTCATCTGTGGCAAAGGAAAAAAATACCTACAGAAATAATTTTGAATATGTGACATCAACCTGTGAAACTCCAGAATTTCATCATAGATTTGGGCAGGTTTCAAAATGTCAGCTTTGGCTTTGTCATTTAGAGAGAAGCAGAATCTTTCATTTAATCCAGATGTGTAGAAATATGAAGAAATTAAATATTCTGACAGTGACTGATAGGAACAGTGACTAAAATTTGTGAACTATCTTATACCATAGTCCTGGTGAACAAGACAGATTTTTATGTCATGAAAGGAAAACTGCTATATTTTAATTATATTCTGAATCTTAGTCTTCTATCCAAAATAATAATAATTTTTCTAATATTCAGTATTAGAATAGCTGCAAGGGATATCCTGCTTATTACAGATAATTTTAAGTTGCCATACAATGCAAAATTGTAATTTTAATTTAGAATGAATGTAATTGTGTCAGTGCTCAGAGCTCAGATGACATTTTTTAAGAATTCCCAAGTGACTGAAAACACATATTTTTTAATAGAAGGTCAAAGGTGGCTTTTTATGCCTAAAGCTTCAGACACAACCACCTTGTGGTAGATATATACTCAAAAAAAGTGCCACTGCAAACTTTAGTTAGGTGGTTTTTAACTGTTCCATGATTAAGATCCAATTTTGTTCTTATTTTTCAGTGAGACCAAAATGTTTACAGAACTTAAATAAAGAAAAAGAAGCCTTTGGCACTGGGTAGCATATTTAGATCATGGTAACAGTTAAGATTATCTGGATCTTATGTTTTAATCATTGAAGAATGGGGTTTATCCTGTCTGGCAACAGACTAGGAGGAAGATAACATAGCGGGGTCATTTTGTGGAATTTCTGAGCCTCATTTCCTCAATACTAAAGCTGCTTGGAAGGGGATGCAAACCTCCCTACCTCAATCCATGAACAGCTAATCCTTTCCCCTCTAGCAATAAGTGCCACACTCTGTGCTAAAATTACATTTCTAAGGGAACTGTGGTGGCTAGCAGAGCTAACCCAAGCATGCACTGGTGGCTATACTGGTCCCAGTGACCTCAGTCCTCCCTTTCCTGCTTGTGCCACACCAGTTTGGTGGAATGAACAGACAGGAGCAGGCACAATTTGGGCTCCTTGTGTCAACACAGAGCAGATACATAAAGGAAAAGTGTTACTTAGAATTTTTCACAGTGTCTTTGAGAAGTTGTCTTCTTTTGCCATGTATCATAGGAATATTTTCTCAGTAGTATACAAGCTGTAGAGAGAGTGATGAAGATAGTGAAGAATATAATGAAGCTTAAGTCTGTAAATCCATTTAAATCTGCTTTCAGTTCAGTGACAAGATTTGCACTCTAAGACAATCTGAATGCTATTTTGTGTGATTATAGGTTGGCAGAAATAGAAAAAAATTATTTGCTTTTCTGAACTGATGAAGTTACCAGAATATTTTGTTTGCTCTTGACACACAGAGACATTGTGCAATTGCTTTTATTGTTTCCACAAAAGCAAACAGGAGCAGGGAGGGGGAGGTAAGGATGTGGGGAGTTGGAGAGATAGGAACATATAAAAGGAAATTGCATGTGCCTGTCCTGTGTTTTTATTTCATGTTTTCCACAAGGTCCATGAATGCAAAATGAAGCTATTGCTCCTAATCGGCTTGCTGATTTCTTGCTGTTGCCATGCTGGGGCAGTGAACCGGGAGTACTATATTGGCATTACAGAGACTGTCTGGAACTATGCACCTGGCAATGCCAGTGCCATCTCTGGGCAGCTTTTTGCAGAAGAAGAGTAAGTAAAGCAGTGTCACTGGTTGAGTTCTATTTTACAGCTTCATCTGGTTTAGACATCAGGACTGTACTGAAAACCTGGTGAAGGCAATGAAATGAGTCTTGGTGTCAGTGGGTTTTCTGTCACATATATAAGGGAATTTTGGTTTTTTTTCCTGGCTTGCTTGAGAACTGCATTCCAATGTTCTGCTAATTCAAAGCACTGGAATATGCAGTAGAGTGTGAATTTGTTGTACTGTACATTTAATAATTAAATAAAATAATAAATAAATACATTTAATAAGTAAATAAAATATTTAATTTAATAAGTAGAGTCTAGAATAAGACCCTGAATGTCTAATGGTGTTTGATTTTGAATGTCTAAGGTGCTAGTGCTGAAGAGATGATTTTTGTTTTTAAATGCAGTATTGTCAAATTTAAAAACAAATTAGAAGTGCAAAACTTTCCTACCGAGCACAGGTTTCCTTTTTAGTTATTCATTGTCGACAGGGATTATTTTCTCTGGTGCAGAAGCACAGCTGGGTACTTCCACCCACAGTGGAGGAGCTGGGTTGCTCGTTACAAGGCAAAGGGGGCCCAGTGCAGAGTGAGAAATCACAAAAATGCAGTTATCATTTAGTCTGTGGATGAGGGATTACAAGATTTTCTGTGGCTTGTTTTCTTTAGTGAGAGCCTCAGCCATAACCTGCCACTCAATCAGGTGTGAGATGAAGCACTTAGCTTTTCAATTTTCCATTCACAAACTTTGTGAGGGATAAGACACTGCCAGAGATTCAGCAGGCTAGTAATTCTGACTGGGGGTGGAAACAGGGCATCCTGTCTGAGAATTGCAGAGCTGTGTTGTAATACAACAAAGCACTGCTGTTCACTGCACTTTCCCTGCACTTTCCCCTGTCACCCCATGTGGTGACAGGCAGCATGCTACATTAATGTCAGGTTTTCAGAGGTTGTATGCCTGCAATGGAGCCAGTCCCTTGTATTGTACTTTTCAGTGACAGCTTCTCTGATTCCCCTTCTCCTCCTGGACACTTTTTGAGGGTGTGCTTGTGTAGAAATTGATGTTTATAGGGGCAGGGGGAAACAGAGTGTAGAAGGAATACTCTACAACTAAATGGTAGCTGTTTAAATGGTCCAAGAAGAGCCATACCATATATGTTTGATTTAGGTTGCAGCTCAAGAGCCTCATGCACTAAGAATTACAGTAACAGCCTTTTCTCTCCAAGGGGAGCTCTGGACTGGCATTTTAATTACACTTCAGACCTGCACTTGCCAAGGCACCTACAATTCCTTCCCCATATGTGCAAACAATACTCCACCTTGTAGAAAATGCTTTGTATTTTTGGGCAGTATTTACTTATTTCACCCCAAGGCTTGCATGTAGTTGTGCACAGCGCTGCAGAGACCTGGTCTTTATTTGAGACTATTAATTAAAAAACACATGACACATGCATTTGTGTATTTTCTTTACAGCCAGGCTGAAGTCTTTCTCAAAAGAGGACCACAGAGGATAGGAAACACTTACAAGAAGGCTATCTACGTTCAATATACCAATCATTTATATGATGAGATAATTGACAAGCCTTCCTGGCTGGGTTTTTTGGGTCCTGTAATTAAGGGAGAAGTTGGAGATTCCATTACTATTCACTTGAAAAACTTTGCTTCCAGAAACTACACGCTACATCCACATGGTGTAACATACACAAAAGAAAATGAAGGTAAGCTTGATGCCATTCTGGATCAAAATTTTTGAAAAGTTTATCGTCCGTCTCAGTGTAAGTGGTATTCTTCCATCAGAGAGAAGACCGGTCAAGTAAAAAGATATTTAAATTAGGACACAATCAATTTAAAATAGGAGCTAAGTTTGATAATTTTTCAAGAGTAAGATACAAAGCCAAAAGTGGAATTTGTGAAGAAGGCAATTTTAGATCAACATTTTACCTGAAATAAGAATATTTGTGTTTCAACCAAAATAAGGGTATAAAGGTAGATAAGAAATTCAGGTATGGAGGATATATAAAAATTTGATGCTGTGAGGAAGACATTGTTAATAGTAATAATGTAATGTTCCAAATTCTCAATGCTAAATTTACGTATATGGTATATAAGATACACAGGAATTTCTTAAAATGGATAAACAGATACTGCTCAGTAATTTGTTTCCATTACAACTAGTATGTGCCTTGATAGAGACACACTCTGTCGGACCAAAACAGTGTATTATGTAGCAGTACGTACACTTTTCAGAATTTTTTTCTGTTGCTATCATTCCAGCAACACCTATATTCCTTCAGGTCATATGCAATTTTTTAGAACAGTTTCCAAGATTAATATTTAACAAATTTTGTACAAATATTTGAATTGTTATCTTTTTACAAGAAGCACATAGTCCCCTCCAAATGATTTAAGACTAATTTTAATGGGCCATTAATTGAAGTACTCCTATGGACTTCAAAAGCAAAGGAAAAGATTCCTCAAGAGAAAGAAAACATCTACTAATCTGATTTAAAAGTTGTGGGTTTTTAACCTGTATTCAGATGTTCAGTCCATTTTGATGCAGCATGTAGTCACCTTTCAGCATGGCAGGTGCTATCCTAATGCCCTATTGTGAATGTGCTGTGGTAATGGTGACTGCGTGGAATTCTTCAGGTGCTTTTTATCCTGACACCACCAAAGATTTGCAAAAGCGAGATGATGCTGTGGAGCCTGGAGGCCAGTACACCTACACATGGGATGTGACAGAAGATCAAGGTCCTGCTGAAGCAGATGCAGACTGCATAACCAGGGCTTACCACTCCCACATAGATGCTCCAAGAGATGTTGCCTCAGGGCTTGTTGGGCCTCTAATAATTTGCAGGAAAGGTAAACAATAAATAAATTAGTAAATAAATACATATGCAAGGTGATTGATAATTATCATTGATAAATATAAGTGAAATAGCTTCCTGGAAGAGGAGAAGATTACAATTTATTTTGAAATAACTGCTTTTGACCTTCTCAATCAGCTGCCTTCAATAGTATAGGAAGTAGTTTGATTTTGTGTATGAGAGTGACTATAATTTGCAGAATACTTTGTTCACAAATCCATATGAATGAGATATGCTATATTGGCAATGTACAAGGAATTGTAAATACTAATATAATAAAGAGATTAACGTGCAGTATTTATCCTCAGTAATTTTATAGATTGTATCAAAAGGGATTTTTTCTTTCTTAAGTGTGTCTGTAAGTTTATGTATACAGTCATGCTCAAGTGTCAAAACATGAAATAAACAGGGTCCACCCCTACTGAGACTAGAGTTAAAACTGACAAAAAAATTAATGTCTGTTACCAGAGATTTTTAATATACTGCTTTATTTTTCAGATACAATGAATAGGGATACTGATCAACACTTTGATGCTGAATTTATCCTTATGTTTTCTGTGGTGGATGAAAATCTCAGTTGGTATCTAGAGGACAATATCAGAACATACTGTTTTGAGCCTTCCAAAGTGGACAAAGATGATGAGGACTTCCAGGAAAGCAATAAAATGCACTGTGAGAGAACATTATATCAATGTTGCTTGACACTGATATCGTGAAGTAATATTTTTCTATCTTGTCTCTTTTAAAGATGAATTGTAGAATTTTTTTAAAAAATCAGGGATTTTTCTTAGAGAATTAAGACAGACTCTTTAAAAAAAAATTAAAGTTAAAAAGTGATGGTAAGTATTGTACAATCAAATCTTTGGAGTTATGATATAAAATTCTTAGGGGCCAAGAAGCTCTTTGCCAGTGTAATTTTCCCAGGTATACTAAACAGATTTGTGTTACTTTGTTCTGTTTCTTAGTCCTCAGCTCTGTACTATAATTTCATAGATTAGAAAAACAATTCTTACTGTTAGTGTAAACAAATAATATAGCTCTGGCTCTGGCATGTATTCCAGAATCATAGCTATGTAGAGGAAGCATGTGTCGGATACTGGCAGTGATTTTCAAATGTGTGGAGCTTTCTTTTGGAGCTCTTTCTATTTTGAATAATAGAGCAACAGTTGTATGATACCTGATTTGAAGAAAATATCCTAAGGTCTGTGAAGTTAACTGTAATAAATAACATTTATTTTAGCAATCAATGGGTACATGTATGGATACCTCCCAAACCTCACAATGTGTGTGGAAGATAAGATAAAATGGTATCTTTTTGGCATGGGTAATGAAGCTGATATCCATTCAGCCTACTTTCATGGACAGACCTTAATAGAAAGGCATCATCGAGTTGACACCATCAGCCTCTTCCCAGCCACATTCGTTGATGCTGTCATGGTACCAAGGAGCCCTGGGGAATGGCTGCTCAGCTGCCAAGTGAATGACCACATTGAAGGTACAGTACAGGTTTCAGTGATCAGACATTTTTTAGCTTGAGCTAAGAGTTTACTGAGTCATTTTGCAGGGCTCTTGACCTGGTGATATGCCAGACAATATTCTCCTCGAGGTAAAAAACCCTCAGAGTAATTTAAATGCCTACAAGTGCATTAGATTGGTTTGAGCCTGTAGCCATGGTAATCAAGGGATTCTTTTCTCTAATGATCAGCAGCAGCAGCTGGCAGCAAATATCACAGCTGCATTTTTGCATGCCTCACCATTGGGCAAAAAGCCAGCATGATGTTTGCCTCCTGCTGGAGATAACTAACTGCAATTTTCTGTTTCCAACAAAAAAGTTGGGGCTCATTCCATCTTTGACAAGGGGCACAGGACAGGCAGGCTAACTTGCCTGCTGACAAATACATGTTCTGGAAAATATATTCATGAATAAACAGAGATGTTCTTTTCTCTTCCCTGTATTATCCTGTATTTTCAGTTTTAATAGCCTTATTTAATACTTAGAAGCTAATTCCAGGCTTTTTAATTATCTATATTCTTGTAAGTGAGAGAAGTAATTTGTCACAGAAATGGGAAAGAACACAGAATCAAAAATCATTCTCCAAGATTTGAAAACTCCAAAAAGGAATGTATTACCTACAGATTCAATTACACAGAGGTTTCAAGCTTTGTCAGATCAAGCAGTATCCTGATATAGCTGAGGCATTCTGGCCAAGATTTAAACCCTACAAATTGGCCTGATTTATAGCTGTAAAAAAGCTCTCTTCACTATATTATTTGTGTCCCCAGCAAGCAGATTTGCTAGCTGCTTCCCTTAGGATGCAGATTTGGGAGTTCCACAAGTAAGTTGTTGATTATATTGAGATAGAGGATGGTCAGTCTGGTAAAACCTCACCTTGGCTGAATGGTTCATGGACAGCACTTTGTCCACTTGACCCTAATCTTCTCCACCATGCCAGTGGCAGCTTTACAAGCAGAATTCCCTTTACCACACTTGTCAGCCTGCTGTGGATACCACAGCTGTGTTCCTATATCCTAGCTCAGGTGGCACACCTTCTTTTATAGCATTTATCTTCCACTTTGTGATTTGCATATCCATCAATGGTGTGGGAATTGTCCAGGGAACAGAGGAGCTCTTGGAGGCAGGGAAAGAAAAAACAAAATGCAGTTCCTTCTTCCTAGGTTTCTCTACCTCTTTTTTTCCCAGGTGGTATGCAAGCCCTTTTTAAAGTAGAAGATTGTAAAAAACACACAACAAGTCACAGTGAGAGTACAAAGATAAGACAGTACTTCCTTGCTGCTGAAGAGATTATCTGGAATTATGGCCCATCTGCAGTGAACAATTTTACAGGACAAGAATTAATTGTCGACAGGTAAATGTCTCTAATTAAAGAAGTTTTATTTTCCAAGAAGAATTTATTTAAGCATGCTAAATAAGGTAAGCCATATGGTAGAACTGGCTTTTAAGCATAATTGCTCATTGTCCTCATCCATGCTTAAATATTAATCCTAGAATAAATATCAAACCAAATTAGGTCATTTCTTTTCCTTGTAATCTTACCTTAAATTTTGGTGCTGTGGTAGTCATTTCACTGAGATTAAGATTAATTATTATGTCATATATAGGCTGTGACTCCTGGTTATTCAAGCAGGTTGATTATTCTGAGTTAGGGAACAAAGCAGGAGATCATGAACATTGTGTTAGATGATGAAACTCATGCTAATGGTATCTCATCTAGAAAACAGATTGCATGAGATAGCTTTGCCCTTTACACTGTGTTTACATATTTAAAAACTGGATACATTGATTCCTCAAATTTTTTTTTCTGTGAGTTATAGCGTACGTACCTCTTCCACAAGCAATGAGGCACAGTTCAGTGTCTGAATAGTGCTTGGAAAACACTGAAAGGTCCTTTCTTAACGAGTAGAAGCGTCACGGAATCTTCTCACTATGTATATAGATGTTACATATTCTTGGTGTTTGTATATGCTCCTGTTGATTTTTTGTAACTTCTAATTAAAAGAAGAAACAATTCAAGGTTATGAAATATTGACTAGAAACCATTGTTTATGAGTCTCTAGGCATACTGGCTTTGTAAGGGCAGCTCAGCACAGTGGCTTTTCCTTAATGAGAAGTTAGTGAAGGATAATGGATTCCTGCACATCTTCTACATCACTGCATATAAGCGTGTGACCATACCACTGAAAAGAAACCCAAAAGACAAACTCAGCATGCCATAGCTTTGAAAACAGGATTAAGGTCCAACTGCCTTTTTACAACTGAGCATTTTGACTTGAAGTGTTTGCATCTCTTGCAATTTCTTTTACACAGTGAATCTCAGATATTTTTTGAACAAAGTGAGACAAGAATTGGTGGCTCCTACAAAAAAGCAATTTACAAGGAATACACAGATGGTTCTTTCACTGAACATAAAAAAAGACTTGCAGAGGAAGCACATCTTGGACTCCTAGGTAAGAGAGTCTAAAATTTTTTCATGTCAAAGATTTATGAGAGTAAACAGTCACTTCCACTGGTTAGTGAGCAGTGCCCCCACCTCCAAGGAGAAGCCCTTAGCTCTCCCTGCCTCCAGCAGTCGCTAGCGCCTGTGTTTTCCCCCAAGGTGTAAAGAAGCTCTTGAGTGCAACACTGTCACTCTATCCAGCTTCCCTGTAGGAGCATGCCATGGAATCCAAAGGTCAGGCTCTTAATTACAAGGCTAAGCTAGGCAGATCTAGTTGTATTGATAACCTTGCTGCTCTTGGCATGGGTTGGTGCTAATGTCTGTAAATCGCTTTCCAAAGGGAGGAAACTGTCCTGAGAGTCACTGGGCCTCCACGTGAGCTGGGATTGGTTGCTGCTGGGCTGTTGTGTGATTCAGACCATGTGCCAGGGACCTGGTCTGTGGCCATAGAGGCCCAGGGGCATTTCTCGTGCAAGGGAAAAAGCAGCCAGCCACTGAATGCCATAAATTCATGGTGACCTGCACACCATTTGATATAAATATCCCATAATTAGACCGTGTACACTTTTCTAGGACCTGTGATCAGGGCTGAAGTGGGTGAGCGCATCAGGGTGACCTTCCGGAACAGCGCCAGCCGCCCGTTCAGCATCCAGCCCCACGGCGTGAGCTCCCGCAGGAGCGGGGCCGGGGCGCGCTTCGGCGCCGCCGCCGCCGGTGAGCCCGGACGGGTGCTGCGGCATCCGAGCCTCGCTGTCTTACCTGCCCATGTGTTACAGGTGGGAAAGGAATGAATGTGCACTTGGCATAATTCCCAATGCTGATTTCTGTAATAGGTACCGAATCTCCAGCCTCTCACGTGAGTCCCGGCACCACATTTACATATGAATGGGACGTGCCAGAAGATGTGGGTCCCACAGAGCAAGACCCAGACTGTTTAACCTGGCTTTATTACTCAGCTGTGGATGCAGTCAGAGACACCAGTTCTGGTCTTGTGGGTCCTCTCCTAGTGTGCAGGAAAGGAGCTCTGCTTTCTTCTGGGAAACAGGTCAGTCAAAGAAGAAAAATGGAAACATTTGCATAGTCACAGCTGAATCAGCTTTCTCTTCCCAGACTGCACCACCTCTTCTCCACATTACAGTTTCACCCATGTCCTAAAGGGAATAAACAACATGAAGAAAGTGGGAGTGGTTTTCAGTCTGGCTCCAGATGGACAGACACTGCTATGTGAAAACACCATTGTCATGAGCTGGCATTCAAGTCTCAGCTATGATGAGAATCTCTAGGAAAATGTAGAGATTTTAAAGGTCAAATAGAAACTCACTTCCAGAGGTGGCCCCTGCTGATAGAAAGAACATTAGCAGTAGATACTTAGTTACTAGATGCAGCAATTACAGAGCTTTGAGATTATCAGAATGAAGTATCAATGTATGAATTTAGTCTGTTTTGGAATTTGTACTCATAAATTATTACAACATAGGAGTTTTCCCCCTGACATTTTCTGTTCATTCATTTCTATTTTCCCTTCTACTATTTCTTTTCAACAGAAAAATGTGAACATGGAGTTTTTTCTACTTGCCACGGTATTTGATGAGAATCTGAGCTGGTATTTGGATGATAATATTTTGATGTTTACCCTAAATCCTGGTAAAATTGACAAAGATGATGAAGACTTCCAAGAGTCTAACAAAATGCACTGTAAGAAAATTATTAGTTAGTGAAATATTAATTTCTGCAGTAAGGTTTTTACTTTAATGGATTCATGTTTGAGGCAGGAAAGCTATATAGTGCAGAGACATTTAATTCCTTTACAGTGGGAAAAAACCCAAAACATTTCAGTGCAATTCAGTTTCAACCAAATCTGGTAGTTCAAAATATAATGCCAGTTGTTCAATGTGTTGCATGGCAGTTGAGGATTTAGCATGATTATACCACTTTGAGCAGATAGAAGGAGGAATTAGGTCTTCAGACTGCATGCAACCAGTACGAGTGCAACCAAGGCAGCAAGAAAAAAACTGACCTCTGCTTTGCAGATGGTGTAGCTGAAAGAATGTTTTTCACAGATTTACAGAGAAGTTGAGGTTGGACGGGACCTCTGGAGACCACCTGGTCCAACACTCTGCTCAAGTAGGGCCACCCAGAGCCATTTGCCCAAGACCATGTCCTGATGACTTTTGAATACCTTCAAGATTGGAGACTCCACCATCTCCCTGGCCAGCCTCTTCCAGCGCTTGGTCAGCCTCACAGTGTTTCCCATGTGTCAGCTGGTGTCTGTTAGTGTCAGTAGGGCTTCTGTCCCTACCACTGGGTACCACTGGGAAGAGCCTGGCTCCAACCTCTTGGTATTCTACCTGAAGGGGTTTGCACAGGTGGGTGAGATGCCCCAAGCTGCCCCTTCTTCAGGCTGAAAGGTCATCACAGCTCCCTCAGCCTTTCCCTGTAGGAAGAGATGTTTTCTCGTCCCTTCATCATCCTTGTGGCCCTTTGTTGCCCTCTCTCCAGTGTGTTGATGTCTTCTATACTGGGGAGCCCAGAACTCAGCATAGTCCTGCAGGTGTGGCCTCAGCAGTGCTGAGTAGAGGGCGGGGATCCCCTCCCTCGATCTGCCAGCTGGACTTCACCTCAGAATGGCTCTCTGCTTCTTTAATAGAGTGCAGAACTGATTGTGTTTTAGTACTGCAGAAATGTTTTTCAAGTTTCACATGAAAAATACATTTTTACCCTCAGGCCCTAACCCTGCCAGTAAGTCCTAATCTTTAAGCATATTTGTTTTATGCATTTTGAAAAGATTTCACCTCAGGGCCATTCCTGTTTAGAGACTCTTGGTGCTGAGCATTCAGTGGTACCTGAAGCCCAGGATTTGAAAATTTTGCAAAGGACTATCTAGAAAGGGTTAGTAACTCAAACAAAAAAACCCTTCTGTTTGCCTCCACTGTACAGCTGGAGGGTGCTGCAGGGTATAAATCTGGATCCTTTATGCATCCTGTATACATGACGAGTAGAAAGCAGGGAAACTTCCAGTTGGCCAAGGTAGCAATATGCGTTGTAGACATTGAAAAAGGAAACAGTTAGAAATTATTTTTAAACACTGGGGTTTAAAAGTTGCTTTGCTTGAATTGATTCTTTAGTTTTGTTGATGTGACAAAGTATTTTATAATTGATATTTCTGACAGTCTAAGGCATGACATTATATCTGAAGTGTTTATTAATTAATCTCTATTGCAGAATTAAGTAATATATTAATCAAGGTGGTTTTTGTTTCCTCAAATCTTCTATAGCCATTAATGGTTATATGTATGGAAATCAGCCTGGTCTTGAGATGTGTAAAGGAAGTGTTGTTTCCTGGCATTTGATGGGCTTGGGTTCAGAAGTTGATGTCCATGGGATATACTTCTCAGAAAACACATTTGTAACTAAAGGAACAAGAAGGGATACAGCAAATCTGTTTCCACATGCAGTTCTTACAGCTATTATGAAGCCTGATTCTGAAGGTAACTGTCTTCTTTAAAAATCCTGTTACTAATGCAGAAATTGTTACCTATGCATGCTCTGTGCATAGAGACAATCTTTAAGTAGCTGGTATATTGATTCTGGTGCTAAAACTGTGTACAGCTGTGTTTGAAGGGTACCAAACTGTAAGGACATAGGTTAATGCTAAATTCTTGATTTTTCTAGCTCCCTCTGTATGCTGAATTTTATTACTACAAGTAGCCATACTGCACAAAGATTTTGGCCCTAATAATAATATGTGTCCCAGTCTCCTCAAGTCTTTGTTTCTTATATGACCCCTAGGAATTTTTGAAGTGTCCTGCCTGACAGCAGACCACTACACTGGGGGCATGAAACAGAACTACAAAGTGAAAAAATGCCACAGGGGGAAAGAAGATGTATCTACGTATTTGCATGAAAAGATTTACTACATTGCTGCAGTGGAAGTTGAATGGGACTATTCTCCTAACAGGACATGGGAATTTGAGCGGCATCAATACCATGAGGAAAGGTACTTTGGTACACAGGGAGAAAAAATGCAAAAAAAAAAGCAAAAAAAGCAAAGGAGCAACTCACTTCTCCTCTGAACCTTTTCCTCTTTCAGACATTTCTAGTCACACTTTCTTTTCACAAATATATTTTGGACTTGCTTGAATTTCTCCTTTCCCTGCAGTGCTGGCATGTAACTGAGCCAGACAGCACAATGTTTGAGAAATAGCACAGATCTTCTGTGGGACAGATGGAGATTTTAATGGATCCTGGATAATGCATGTGCATTTGTTATTTACTGATGTTGGTAGTCCTTGATGTGGAAAGCTTAAAATATTCATTGTAATCTTAACTATGATGACTATGTCCTGATAAACAAGATCTTTGTCTCATGTTTATTTGTAGTCTGAGTAAGGTTCTTTTGATCCCTCTCAATTTCATGACCTTACACAAGATAAGTCCATGATTGAATCCACTTACCATGAAGCTCATTGTCTTGGTGTTTTATTTCCAGTATTTTAATCTCAATGAGAAAAAACCTGACTGGATAAACTAATTCACACCAATTAGCAGAAAAGGTTAAACAAGAATGATTAATTTCTGTGTTCCACCTGAATTACTTGAGTAACAGATTATAACTGTATTTTGTTATTTACTTAATTGTATTTTCTTCTTTTTTCCTTAGTTTGATAGTACATTTCTCTGCCCTGTATACCAGTGTACTCTGACATAATTCTAAGCACAAGTAATATGGACTATGCTGTTACCAGATTTCCCCCCCATTTTGCGTCCAGCCCTCATGATCTCTGCAGAGAATCCTTCCCATTTAATGTCAGCAAGGCACTTCAGCTTTACAAGTTTTAGCCTTTATTTCAGACATACACTGAAGTTGACAAAGGCTCTGTTTTTCAGTGTGCAAGTTGCTGTATGCCTTTGTGCAATTTGAAACATTTGCCAGGGCAAGCATACAGCATTTTTTGCAAGTACCATACACTTGATCTATTTATAGTGGGGTTTTTAACCTTCTAAAGGGGAACATCTCAGCTTAACAAGAATGTTTTCATGTTGAAGATACTAGCAGTTTATAAGATTACTCTTTCAGTTTATGAGATTACTACTTCTCTTGAGCCAAATTCTTGCTTGAGAGTTAATTGACATACCTGCAAAAGATGTTCTAAAATACATTAAAGAATGCATTTCTTTATTCTTTTGGCAGCCCTGGCAATCCATTTTTAAATAAAGATGACAAATTCATTGGCTCAAAATACAAAAAGGTAGTATATCGTGAGTACACCAATCAGACATTCAGTATCCTCAAAAACAGAGCAAAGGAGCAGCAGCACCTGGAAATTCAAGGTAAAGCCATCATGTTCAGTTTTGAAAATGCAAAAAATGCAGTCACACAAATCAAAATGTACTATTTGAATAATATTGAGTACAGTTCTATCCATAAAAAAATTGCCTCAATCTAAATGGAAAACCTACTTGGAACTGCTACTTTTACTGTAGTGCTTTCCCTGCAAGATAGCATTGCTTGCTCTACAAGGAAAAAAACCCTTTTGGTTTGCTGCCTAGTCAGAGATCCTAAGCCAGCATAAAACTGGGCAGCAACATCCAAACTGACTTCAGATACACAGCAGGTGCTCAGAACTTGAGATATAGAGGCCTAACTTTAACATCTCAAGCTGACATGTCATAGTGAATATTATACAGTTTTCATCTGAATTATAAGTCAATGTTGTGAATTTGAACACAACAAGCTGGCTCTCTGTCTGTTCTGATGTTTTGTAAAACCAAATTAATCTTTCTTTTCAATCCAACAGGACCACTGCTTGTGTCAAATACTGGAGATAAAATTACAATAGTTTTTAAGAACTTAGCATCAAGACCTTATTCTATCCATGCCCATGGAGTGAAAACAGACAGTTCTGTTGTTGCTGTAACTAACCCAGGTATCAAATCACCCCTTTTTATTTCCAGCAGGTAACATCAAGACTTCTGGTAAGATTTAGCAAGCTTACAGACAGCAGGAAAGACATAATTTTTGTTTGTCTTGCCTCAAGTTCTTAAATTTTTGATGCCAATTATGACAAATATTTCTACAGTTCAAATGACTGCTAATTATTGCTGTGTATCCTAGTCCTTGACTGATCAGTAATTCTTTGACAGTGTGGCTGCACCTTTCATGAACGCAAACAGATTTGGCTCCATAAGGAAAGCATAGCTTATGCTATTACTTCTCAGTTTCCTCTTACAAAGATTGTATCTTTACAAAATATACAATCAACTGTTAAGTATGGTGAATTGGACAGTGCAGACACACTCACACACACACAATACCATTGTCAGGAAGAATCAGGGATCTGCAGAAGGGGCCATCAGCTAGCCAGTGCAGTAAATGGGAAGGGGAACTTCAAGAAAAATATAAGCTGTAAATGGAAATAACATCTGCTACATGATGACCACCTGTAGGTCAGCACACTGAAAACTTCAAAAATTAATTGATACTTATTTAATTCAGGTGATACAAAAATATATGTCTGGAAAGTCCCAGAGAGATCTAGTCCTGGAAGAGGAGATTCACATTGTATTGCATGGGCATACCATTCAACAGTGGACATTGTTAAGGTATATTATTAATATCAGTTTTGTTTGTGTCCCCAACATAGTCAAAGGAGATGAGTTTGAAACTTTTTCTGTTTTCTCTGACAAGCTATTTCCCCTATTATTATACCTTTGAATTTATGTTTCTTGAAGGCAAACTGCAAGAACATCAGGGCAGAAATTCAATGCTACAGACATTCATGGTTTTGCTTCCTTGTTGTTCTGCTGTTGGTATAGACCATCTCACATTCCCTTCTTAAAGCTAGCACTTTATAGCTTGCTCAATATCTAATCAGTCATTTGTGGGAAAACTAAAATGCAACTATGAAACACAACTCTGCCATTTTTTACCAAGTATGAATTAGCTTAATATAGCATTTTTAATGGAAATTAATGTATTCTTGCCATTGTCTCAACAAATACAAATAGTGTCAGGAAGTATATTTTCAATGGAAATCAAGCTCAAAATTATAAAAATAGTTTGAAAAAGTAGCAGTAAATTAATATGGAAGAAATATTTATAGCAAGAGATGAAAATGAGGTAGTCTTCATTGAACTTGATTCCTGGGTAGTATCTAACAGTGGAGAAATAACTTAGTTGGACACTGGCTGCCCTTATTCCCAGATACTGACAGCTGTGAAGATAGTAAAAGGATTCCTGTATGTCATTAGAAGTACTTCTGTTTAGTTACATCTTGCAATTATGTGGGTTTTCATTTGTCATTTCAGGACACTTACAGTGGATTAATAGGCACACTCGTTGTGTGTCATAGACATTACCTGCCATCATTTCATACTAAAAAGAAAGTTCAGTTTGCTCTTCTCTTTATGGTTTTTGATGAAAATGAGTCATGGTACTTGGATGAAAACATTAAAACATATTCTACCAACCCACACCTTGTTCACAAAGAAGATGAGGGATTCCTTGAAAGTAATAAAATGCATGGTATGTTTCCCAGTTTAGTTCATGTAGCTCTTCAAATTTTACAAAATTATGTATTTGAAAGTAATACATGCAAATTCAACTTTCTCAACCCCTTGAATTTCCAGTTCCAGGATAGAAGGCCTGAAAAACCTTGCTCACACTGTTTGAAAACACTGCTAATGCCAGTGAATGACATTTTTTTCACAAGTTAAAAAAACCCTTAGCAACAACAAAGCCCTCTAGTATATTCTCTTGTTGAAGTTTTAGTAAAGAAAGAATTAAAATGAAATTTGAAGTTCTGATTTGATATCAGTAAACAACTAATCTGGCTATGTTGGAAAGGCTATGTGCATCCTGAAAGCATGTCTTTGTAAAGCTTACTCTTTTACAAAGATTGATTAAAAAAAAAAATCTGCAATTCCCACAGCCCTTTAAAAACTGCAATATGAGCAATGATGTACAGCAAAGAAATTTATCGTTTTCTTTCTAGTTTATCATGTGCCCTCCAAAACCATTACTTTTGTTTGGCATTGGCTTTCAAATCTTTCAATCTGTATTGTATTAGAGATAACAATACACAATACACAAAATCTTATCTGCTTTTTCTGTCTTACTTTCCTTCTTTTTAGCCATTAATGGAAAGGTGTTTGGAAATCTGCATGGCCTGACTATGCACGTTGGAGAAAATGTCAGCTGGTATCTGATGGGAATGGGCAATGAGGTAGACATTCACACAGTACACTTCCATGGCCACAGCTTTGACTACAAGGTATCAGATCTTTTTCACTTATTTCTTGCTGTGCTAAGAATGACAGGTACGTCAAAAATCAAGGACTGCTACCTATGGTGAAAACACATATTACAATATTAAGCAGGGCTTTTACTTTAACCATAAGGGTTTTATGCCTCAATCCAGTATTTGATCAACCATATCTGAGAGAATTCTGGCAGAGAATATCTGCCAGTAGCATTTGCTCACTGGTAACCTCAGAAGTTACTTCAACATGATAGCTGTGAATTTTTCATGGCTATGGTAAGACAAAAGCTATAGTTTTCTTTCATTTCCACTTAGTTGCTAGTTTATTAAACTTTGGAGCAGGAAGTGGATGTACAAAGTGATGCTTCAGTAGAAATGATACACAGAAAGCGTGTTTAACAGAGTTTAACTGTTGCTTCTTTTTGTCTTGAAGCAAACAGGGGTTTACCGGGCAGATGTCTTTGATCTGTTCCCTGGGACATCTCAAACTGTGGAAATGACCCCAGAGAACCCTGGAACCTGGCTGTTACACTGTCACGTTACTGACCACATCCACGCAGGCATGGAAGCGACCTACACTGTGCTCCCAAAGGAAGGTAAGAGCACCTAGCTCAGTAATGCTCATTATGTTTTAAGATGCACAATGGGGCTCACAGACACCACAGCATACTTATAACCAGTTCAGGCACCCAGCAATATTCCATGTCTAGAAGCCAAGATGTTGCAGGCGACCTGGTCATACTTCCCTCTGCACTGCTCAGGAAAATGTAGTTAAAGGACTGGATGACAACTGACTATTACTTCAACTTACCATCCACGAAATGTGGCAGATTTTTTAATTTAAAAAGAATTCTTCATGAGAAAGAGTACTTCTGTATCCAAGTGTCAGTAGTGACAGATTTCATGTAAATCTTTGTTCAAAACAAGGACAGCTGCTAAATACATCTGAAGTACTGAAAAACTAAAGTAGTGTTTACTTTCTCAAGGGCATGTTGTAGCTTTAAGGACACTATTACCTTGGTCTAGCAATATCACCAGTGAAAAATCTTGAATTTTGAAGAAAAGTTCTTATTTCTAAAAAGTTAATACAATTTTTAAACCATCATTTTTCAGTACTAAAAAGACAGTGCATAACAGGTATTCAGAGAAAGAGAACAGTAGAAAGAGTTCAAAATATGTGATGTATATATATATATATATATATAGCCATATGATTTACATTTATAGCTATACTAAAAAAATACAGAATGCATTGTTAAATAGAAAATCTAATTATATTTGATGAACCACTGGAATATGAAACAGAACCTAATTCTATTTTATAAACATTAAAACTGATTTACAGAGTATGTTATGTCAGATGTCCAGACAATAACAGGCTAATTTAAGAGTACACAGAAAACATGTAAAAACAGACTTTCAACTTGGACCAGCAGTATATTGGATTTTTTATTATTAGCTATCTAGACTGCATTAAAATGTAGTCATTGTAATTGCACTAAACTTCATTTTAATTGCATTAAACTTCATTGCACCTTAAAGTTGTTTTTAAATCTAACTTACAATGTCCAGAAGGTACTTGGATCCTCTGTGCTCATTTTGGACTCTGCTGGCCACAAGCACAGAGTATTCTTTTGATGAAATGTAACATAAAGCTATTTTTCTCCTTCTAGACTAACTGTCTCTGTTCCCAAGATTGTTCAATCAGTTCAAGTGTAAAGGCATGCCAGGCACTCAAGAATGATGAAAGCATTTTAACACAGTGATCCTCCAAGATCTACCTTAATTTCTTGGAAAATACTCTTCTGGATCACTCATCTCTACACTGTTTGGAAGATTTCGCATAGTGGCCATGGCTAAGAAAAGAACCACAGACTAAGACAGCTGAATGGATATAACAGCTTATAAATATATGTTTCTGTAAATGAAAATAGTATCTTACAAGCGACACATATTCTAGGTGATGGCTAATGCATGTTATTTAGCAGCTGAGGAACATGGAAGAGCTAATGAAATGTACATTTTTTTAAAGTTTGCAAATAACCTTGAGTAACAGCAAAATTTGGGCTATCAGTCATCATCCTGTCACATTTTACTAGTATGTCTGTAGTAAATGCTTAGAAAACAGGAATTTGGTTATCACTTTGTATCTTTTCAGTGTGAACCTATGGATATATTATTGTATAATTGAGCAGTTAACAAAATAGTTATCTCTGTTGAATTACTTTGCAATTTTATTCAGTAGTACCTCTCAAGAATGTGCATTTAAAAGATTTGGTTTTCTGTTATGAAAATAATTGTAAGGCAAAATTAGGTTGAAATCAGCCTGACGAAATGCAGATAGTGAAGGCCAAAATTTGGTGACTATGTGAAAAGCTTTGCTCTGATGACTCCTGCAGTGGAATAATTTTGCTGTTGCAGCTCTTGGCAAGGAAAAAGAAAGTGTTTCCTGACAGGTGGAAACAACAGTGTTAGAGCATGGCTGATGCTACTCAAAAATTAAACCAGTAAGAGTGATATGGTTGCGTTCCAATAACCCAACCCCTTATGTTAGATCCATGCTAAATGAGAAGGAAAAATGTATGGGACAGGCAGGGAAAGCAAGATATCTGGGCTTTATGCCTGCAAGAATGAAATTGCTTCTCTTTAACAAGCCTAAATCGCTTTGGTCTTTTTTAAACATTATACTGAAACCAGCATAATACCTATCAGTAAATTAGATAATTTTATCTGTAGCAGGAATGCTATGTGAATAAGTTAAACTACTTTTATCTCTTTTTTTTTTGTTAATGTATTTTAGCTGAAATATAGATGGTCTCTTCTGACTGACTTCTGCAGGTTTAAATAACATTGCAACTCCTGTGAAAACACTTTATAATAGAGTCACTGTCAGCTAATTAGGCCTTTAGATGGTTATGGGATCATGGGAGTTGTTGTATTTTTGGTAATTGTCAAAAACCCCAAACTACATTCATAAGGACATTGTGAACATTGTGACAGTTTATTATGACTGAATTCCCAGCTCTGAAGGAGCAGAAAGCATCTTTCTGCTCACAAGACAGACAAACATCAGTACACACATGCACAAGCACCTGAGATGCTTACCAAGAACCTTGGAAGAAATAAGGTTTTTTTTCTGGATTCATGGCCTAGTGATCCTTCAAATACTATCTACTGACTGAGCATAACAGAAGAAAGAAAATGTAGCAAGCCAACTGCAGTACATATCTTCTACTTCTCTTGGATTAATGGCCTTTTCTTGCTAAGTGCTAAATTAAAACATTTTCTGTATAACACTTGCCTGGGTATGTAACTAAGATGAGAGAGCAGCAGCCTGATTCTGCCAGCTAGAATTCAAGGAAATGTCTGTGTTGCAATATCAAGTCAGTTGGACCCAATTCCACTTGGAAGAGTAAGGCACTCCCTTTTACGCATAAAGTTAGACACATGCCTGAGCCTGAATTCCTCCCTAGGTCAGTGATCCAACTAACAAAGATTGAAGACTGACTTTCTGCTTTACTTTCACTGAACACTGTATGTTCAGTTGTACTGTAGAGTCTGTATTTCCTAGCTGCTTTGGCAGAATTAGCTTCAAAACAGATTCTTTGCCTCAGGAAACAGCTGTCCTTCAGTAGTTGATGCAAGATGTATGTGAAGGAAGGCACACAGTATCTTATAAGCAATTATACTGCTTGTTTCATTTACTTTTTTATTACAGCACATTGTAGTTGAGTGGACAGCAGGTCCACAGATCATTATTTTAGGTCACCAGCTTCCTCTGGCTGCAGTGAAGAAGATGTGGTATAAAAAATGCTGCAGTTCCATCTTCTGGCAGAAGACTGAGGAAATCCCTTAGCTCCAGTTCCATTGCAACAATTGATAGAGTTTCTGCTCAGAGCAGGGGAGAAAATATTGTTCAGGTATTTTGAGTTTAGAACAAAGAAAAAAAACCCAAAGTATTAACAATGTAATTATTAATTAAAGTCATCAAATTATTTAAGTATTACAACTGGAATGACATTTGAGACATGGCCATTTGTGTACAAACACAACTATGGGAAATCTACAAAGTAAACTGAAATTATGACTTTGATCAAAAATACGCCTCTATCTTGACACATCAGCTCTACACATGGCACTCTTATGAAGCCTGATCTAGTGTTTCATATGTTTTGTATGAAATGCAAAGTAAGCCCTAGAAATCTTATTAGTACGCTAACTCAACACAATCTGTAAAACTGGATGCTTTGCAAGAAGTTTCTCAGACCAAGCCATGTAATGTTATGCTCTCATCCAATTACAACACAGTTACTGCGTGAAAATAAATCCAAAGAAAAACTGCTGGCACCAGAAACTATAAATTTACAAGAACTGTGCTGCACAATCCAACCCCACAATGCTGTTTTTCTCAGGCATTCCGATGTATTGTATCCACTCCAAGTATTGTCCAATACTTTGAACAATATATATGCTTTATTTAATATTCCTAATTTGTCAAAACAATCACACTGGCCCCTCAGCTATACACAATATTATTAATTATTAATTTCTTACAAACATGTAATGATAGGACTACAGAACTACTAGGGTGGATTTCTCTACTTCTAATATTAACATACTTGTTTTTTTAGTCTGTGACCTAATCATCAATACACACTTAAGCCTCCCCGTGTTATCAATAACAGCCTATTACCTAAGAACAATATAGTCACTTAGCCTAGAAAAAAACAATTAGAATTAGTTCAGTTTAGTAGGTTTTTTAGTGGTGTCTATTCCTTACCTATACAGAAAGAGTATGATTACAACAACATACCTGTTTTCAATACAAAATGAGTGCAAGATTTTTATGAGGCTACACTGCCTACATTGCAGAATTCTGTGCTAATGACCAAAAAGGTTGCTAAATTGCATTAGCTTTAACTGAAGGAAAAGATCCTCCTTTTTTCCTCCAAAGTATCATCTCAGTAGTCCTTAGTCTGAACAGTTATTAAGAATGTTAACTGTTATACAAAGCCTTCTGGAGTTGAGCTACAACCAATTGATTTACCTTTGAGTGATGAAATAAGAACAGGGCAGTCATTTCCAGTACGTCTAGTTCTCTTGCAAAGTTCAGGAAGCAGCTTGTTCCACCACAGAGCCTAATACAGAAAACCCAACAGCAAATGTGTAAATGAACAAGGACTGGAATTAAGACTATGAAAGACCTGCTACAAATAACCTGAACTAAGCTCAGATATGTACAAATAGAGGTCAGTTATTACGAACTCAATAATTCGTTTATATAATGCTTTGAAATGCTGTGGTTTTGCATATGTTGTGTTTTTCAATCTTCAGTGTAACTTTTTTCTGCTCAAAAATCTTTACACATTGTCCCTCATACCTCTATAGAAAAAAGTCACCTAATTTGCAATACTAATGCAGTCAGAGAATTGTTTTTTTTTTTTCTCAAAACAGCTAAATGTAAAGTGGTAAATAGCATTGCTCTGTCTCCTGACTTGATCTGTCTCATTCCAACAGCTGTAGCAGTATATTAGGTTTTGTGCACAATTTTGCAGACCATAGTGAAGAGAAGGAAAGGGATTTCTTTCCTCCTTTAAAATATGGTAGCTATTTTAACTTGTGTTCAGATGCAGTACTGCAACCTCACATTCTAGTCTAATGTGGGAACAATCACAGAAACTGTTTTCAGATTTGAATAAAAAACTCAAATCTGGTTCTGAATAGAGTTCTAGTACATCTGTCTGGTAGAGATTACATTTCCTGACCCTAGTCAGCAGAGCTCCATACAATTATGTATGTACACACATATGACAGAGCTGCTGTGCTGGGAAACGGAAATAAACTCCTGTAGTCCTGGAACACTAGAATAAAATCAGTTCCAACACTAAAACTGTATAGAGGCCTAATGGGAAAATGGGACACAAAGACATAATCTTTCTGCTAGTGTACTGGTACCATTCTGATTGTTAGGTCAGAAGATGTCACTAGAACACAGGAATAACATATTTAGGTGGAATTTTATTCAAGGGACCATGTTTTCTTATCAGTTAGCTTATTATTAAGATTTCACATTATAAACAATTCAGAACATAGTCAGTGAGATATGAGATAGCTTTTAATTTACAGCAGAAAAAGAACATATCATTCTTTATTCTGAGGCACTCTGCCATCTAAAAGACTATGATTTAAGTTTACCACAATGAATAGAGTAAGTGGCAAAAAAAAACTGGAGGAAAAAATATTCCATTACAATTACTGGGGGCTGAGTGAAGGAATTAAAACTCCAAGGAAGAGGTGGAACTCAAGCTAAGCAATTTACCTGAGAGCTAGGCTATGTGATCCATCCAGAGTCCATCTGTACATACAGCATTTCAGTTAGGGAAAAACCCCAAATGATAGTGAATAACTGTATTGAAAGTAGCCCACCTGACTGTCACCTTTCAGCTCATGCTGAGCGTAGAACACAGCTGCATCAGGACACCTGCTGAGTAGCTGGTCAATGGCTTCCTCGTACTTGCCCAGACGGGTATTGCAGAGAACACGGACAGTGAGGCCAACACTGTCAGCCTCTGTCAGGGGCTCCAAAACAGGCAGAACTGAAGCTATATTAATTGACTGACTACATAAAAGAGACTGAAGACAAGAAGTATTGTTTAGATTTAAGACAAACGTTGTAAAAAATGCTAACCGTAACCTTATAAGAAAAGCCCGTACTTGCTGGAATAATCCTGAAATAATACTTCCTTTAATAAATAATGCTGAAAACTGGGAAAGCAAGTTTAGAGTAGATGCAAATGTAAATACTGTTAGCAACAGAACTTTTCAGTATTTTTTTCTTCCATCATTTCAGTTGACTTTTTATTTTGACTTGGATAACTTGGATAAAAGTCTCCAGACTGCTGGAGAAAGTTGTTCACAGAAACATGAACATTTGCAGAAGGATCTAAGATATATAAAGCAGATGTAATAAGATGTAATACATGTTTCATACCTGTAATCTTGAGATGTCTTCATGGTAATCTTTGTCATATAAGCATCCCACTGACATTACGGAAGTTACCCATGGGACAATCAACCCAAAATGACTACAGGAATTAATCTATACAAGAGAGAATTAAGTTGCAAAAGAAACATTTCTGTTAGCGACAGTTCCATACGAAACTCATTGCAAGTACAGAAAATTTTAATTTCAAATACAGTAATTTAGAAGAGCACCTATCTCTTCTTTCCTGGTTCATGCAATTTAATAAAAAAATAAACTGGAAACTTCTATTTAGTACTGTATTTCAGATTTCCTGTTCATAATTCTTTAGATTTCATCATTCACACGATTTCCTCATTTAGTTAGCTTTGTAAAATTGTAAATAATCCACCTGACAAATTCTCATTGCTTTTTTTTAACCCTTATTTCTATGCAGAGCTGACTCCTGTTGGAAGTATATTTGCAAATGCCCCCATGGAGCAAAACTGGCCAAAGACAGAAACACTAATTTCTAACTGCACATCACCTTATTTTATTTCAGTCTTGCTTCTTTTAAGAGATAAACTGTCTAGAATTAAAATATTAAGGATGGTACTTGGATAGATTGTGGAGGAACCCTGCAGTCCTAAAACTTCCTCTGCATGGTTTACAACTTACTAGATCCTCTGTTGTTTTCAATGGCTTAGTCTCAGGAAGTTGCTTCTTTGATATTCTCCAAACATACTGAGAAGCAACCCTCAACAGGAGCTCCTGAAGTACTTTTTCCTGAGAGGACACTACAAGAAGAGCTTCCCAGAAATCCACCAGGAGCTGGGGAATAGTGTTTTCACTGCTATTATACAACATCTAAGAACAAAAACGACAGAAGACAGCAAGTTAGACTATGGTGATTACTAATAGCAAAAGTTAGAAAAGACAAGAGGAACAGTTTTTCACTTTTACTAGAAGCAGAATTTTGATTTAATTTTTCATTTTTTTCCTGTGATTCTATGTAATACACTGCTATGCAAATTAAAAAGTCTATTACACGATTTTAAGGAAATCAATTCTGACCAACAGATTTGATTTGTTCTTCAAGATTTACTCCACTCCCAGAAATGTCAGTGCAACTGTCAGCAAGTATTTACAGACTGCTAATGAGGATTTTTACATATGCCAATAGACATGTAAGTGTCATGAAAAGAAATCTCTATAGTCCATGATAAGATCTGCTGTGTAGTTCACCTGGGTATCATGGTAGGGACCCACAAGGAAGATGTTTTAAGATCTGCTGTGCCAGCAAAAAGAATTTTTACTTGGTTTCCAAATGGTTTTAAGCAACACCACTTGTTCTAATTGGAACTCCGTGACTTGAATCTTTTTGATACAGGTCTTTCACAGTAACAGATATACTTAAGACTGCAACACACGTACATTGAAGAACACATGTTTTAACTCAAGTGTTGCTATCAATTGTACAGAAAAAAAAAATTGTCTAGTCCCAGTTGAAAGAAAGAAAACTTCAGGGACTCTAGAAAAACTATTAGTATTTCTTCTTATAAACTGCAGACACATACTTTTCTTTCACTGATTTATACAGCTCACCAGAATATATATATGTATTTAAGCCTAATTCCTTAGAAGTATGTTTTAATACTGAAGATTTCTTTAAAAGGAAATTATGGAATTAATTTATCTGAATTCTGTTACATTTCCCTGTCCTTAGGAAGCTTAATCACTAGGAAGCCACTGAAAGGGTTCTGAGATCAGGGTATTTTCCATTCAAATGACAGGTTAAAAGCAAAGAACTTAATGGGTTGTTTTCTTGCTTTCTTTTTTTGCTCTACTTAACCAGTATTTCATTCCAGAAGGTCCAGTTTCTGACTCTGTAACCATCTATCATGACTAGAGTATCTCCACCTCTCAGCTTGCTCTTTCTGAAGAAATGCTAAAATGTGAGTGAGGGAGCAACTGAGGCTGCTTTTCTTTCCCACAACAATGTCACTATGAAAAAAAAAAGAAGCAAAAACATGATCACAGGCCAACCTTGAAAAAGGTATCTGCTTCTTCTAGTTCAATTTTACTGTTCTCATGTAAAGCCACAGTGGCAGCCACCAGTAAACCAGGCTGCATCTCCTTCAGGTGAACAGCAAACTCAGTTGGCATAGCAATTCCTTCCTTACGCTGCTGCAGGAGCCGTGGCTGCCCTATGAAGCCACAAGCCAGTGTTGTCTACAAACATAAATAGATATAAATCAGGTAAATAATTCAATATATAGGTTATTTTATTCAGTAAACTCAGTATTTACTCAGCCAGTGAAATTTAGATGGAAGCAGTCAGGGAAGAAGGCAAATCCTTTCTGCAATTCATAGAACAGGTCTCCAGAGACAGAGATGCAAACCACATTCTAGAGTAGTGACTCCTGAAAAACAGGCCTTGTGCCTAAACACTGAAAGTAAATGCTGTTGAAAGATGGAGTTAGTGTGCATAAAATTGATTTCACTAAGTAATCCAAGGCACTTGATATACAGGGTAGTTTGAAAAATCACTGGCTGACTTTTCAAGAGGCTACTCTGCAGAAGTGTGATTTTTATTTTGAAAATACCCCTGAAACAATGATCAAAATGTGCTACACTCTGTGCAACAAGAAGCTATTTTGAGTTATGTGAGTGCATATGAAGATGAGTATAACGTATTATTCCCATTTTAAAGACAGTGGAAAAATAATGCCTAAGTAAATTAAATTAATTATACAAGACATATAAGGCAGACCTAAATATTAAGATTAGCTTTCTGAAAGTGTTTTTTTCCTACTTGGAAATAAAATGCTTTTTTAAAGATGAAGGTCAATAGAACATACTCAACAGATAAGATTAGAAAGAAAGAAAATCCAACCAAAAACACTCAAGCCTAAGCCACCTTATTCTCAAAATAACATTCATGCAGTGTATGTTTGCTCACAACATGGCAATTTCACTTGATCAGGGAAATTTAGCACCTGCTGCAAAAGCAGATGGTGCTGAATTTTTGAAACGGCTCCCCACAGTTCCAACTCTGCAACTCAAAAACCAGCTAACTTTAAAAACCCTGAAGGACTTTTTTTCACCAAAGCACGATATCTAATTTTGAAACAGTTATCCATTTATTTCAAAAGTGTTCAGACTCCCAATATTCCACTATAAGAAAAAGTCTCTGTTTCAAACTCTATCACCTTTTAATATTCCACAGTCTTGATCAAACTCAACTAGAAGTAATTTACAGACTGGTCTCACACAATGTGAACATCTGCAGCAGAGACAGGTCCACTAACATTTTTGCCCCAGTGATGAGGAATTCTTACTTTGATAGCTCTGAAGTAAGTTCTGATCTGGTTTTAATAAGAGTTAAGTGCTTTGATCCCACATAAGATGGGAAACTGTATAGAGAAACTTTAATCTGTAAGCACAATGGATAAATATTCTGTTCAAGAAAAGTTTTATAATGGCTGTTTGAATACATATGGTGTTTTGATGGGCATATCACACATTAATTTCAGGTGGAGAGGTGTAGAAAAGCTACTATACAATCCTCCCATGCAGCTGAAGAGCACTGGCAGAGTTGTTTACATCCCAGTGAAACAACATCTAATTGATCAAGAATAAAGAGCTTCAAAACTTGCTTATTTTGTAAGTCTTCACGAAGACAAGACTACTCTACCTGCAGGGCAAACTGTACAGTGTATGTCAGCCCTCCATTCTACTGTTACTGTAGACATTCAGT